CAATGCCTTCATTCTATCTTTTCACTTAATTTGTGGTTTAGCTAAATTAGAGTTTTAGCTTGGAAACATTTCCCTCAGGATTTTGAATGCACTGTTTCATGGTATTCAATATGGCTATTGGGAAGTCTGATTCTATTTGGATTCTTGATCTTCTTTACTATCAATTTTTCTCTCTCTAGAGCTTATAGAACAATCTCTTTTGCCTCCATTGTTATGACTTCTTAAAATGATGTACTTTGTTGTGGCTCTGTTTTCATCTATTGTGCTGAGCTAGATATGCATGTTGTTCAATTCTGGGAAATGGTTTTGATTTATTTCTTGGATGATTTCTTTCTCATTTTCTCTCTTTCTGCAACTCCTATTATTTGCATGGTAGGTTTCCTAGAATGATTCTCCACTGTTCTCCTCTGTTGCCATTGCTTTGTCTTCACTCTATTTTCTGAGACATTTCTACAGCTGTATTTTATAAACTTTCTTTTGAGTTTATTTTTAAATCTGTGCTTTTGTGTTTAAATTTTCAAAAGCTCCTTTTTTGGGTGTTCCCTGAATGTTTTTGCCCTACCATTGTGTTCTTGTTTCATAGCAATATGATATCTTCCTATATTACTGAGGTTATTGATGGATCTGTTTTATTCTTAATTTTTTTTTTCTGTGAATCCCCTCGATTTCTCATGGGCAAGAGTGAACTACAGAAAGCTAAGAGCCTATGGGTCCTGCTGAAGCTTGAGATGTGATCCTCACTGTAGATTGCTTTGCTGAGCTATGTCCTTGGGGAACTATCACGTTAGTATCTTTACGGTTTTCTCTCAGGCTTATCAGATTTCCCAGAAAGCCTGAACTTCTGCCTGGAGGATCCATGCTTGGCTGTTGATGTCTGGGAGCCAAGTTTTGAGAGGTTAGGCAGTCTCGACATTCCTTACGCATGGCTTCACTTTTCAGTGCTGTGTTTCCAGTGTCAACTGTGTGTGCCTTGTTGCCCTTCACTCAGAGACTCTTTATTTTGCCCTTTGCAGAGGATAAACATCCAGTCACTTTCTGGCATTGGGAAAGAGCAGTCACTCAGCTACTTAGAGTGGGGAAGGAGATCTGGGGTTTTTAAGTAGACTTTAAACTCACCCTCCTAATTTTGGTCTTGCCTTCTCTACTATATCCAGAGATAGCTGATGCTGCCAATTCCTGGGCCTTTTGGAGGGTGGGATGGGATTCTGCTACACAAATGTGGTTGCTTCTCAACTTTCCCCATTTCTGGCTTAAGATTTAGTTTTTCTCAATGTACTCAGTCAATTACCAATGAGCCGTCACGTCCAACTTTAGATTTGTGTTACTATGGCGTCTTCCTCCATTTTCCTTGGCCCTGCTGGGTTATGCCTTTTTAAAAATATATATATATATATTTTTATTGATTTTTTACAGATAGGAAGAGAGAGGGATAGAGAGTCAGAGACATTGATGAGAGAGAATCATTGATCAACTGCCTCTTGCACACCCCCTACTGGGGATGTGCCTGCAACCAAGGTACATGACTGGAACCAAACCAGGGACCCTTCAGTCCACAGGCTCTATCCACTGAGCCAAACCAGTTTCGGCTGGGTTATGCCTTTTTTTGGAATACCTCCTATTGTCCTTTGAGTCTTGCATGAGGAAATGGAGATATGTTCACTTTCCTCTTTTTTCCTGAAAGTCCAGGAGTAGTTCTTGGCTTTAAAGAAATAACACTTCATATCTCATTTAGTTTGAAATATGTGGACCATACACCTTTCATAGAATATTAACCTTCCTCCAAAAGAAGTTTCTCAAGTGATGGAATCCCATGGAGTTTTTCCTTTTAGAAAAAAGAACGTGAGTGTGAAGCTCAGCCACCTGCTAAATCTTTGACCCTGTGCTTCTAAATTACCCCAACAGGCAGATCAACCCAGCTGTGCCCCTTCCATGTTCCCATCCTACTTAAATCAGACACTCCTGAGTCCATTTTCTTTAATGTTTCAACAGTAGCTTTTTAATAGTTTCCAATAAATGCTTTCAACTGGGCAATGTACACATCATGCTTTCCTTGTTGTTACTGGCCCATCAATAAATATACAAAATTCAGAGGGAGTACTGTGAAAAATCAAAATAACAATGGTCATCATACACATGCAAACAATAAAATACTCTTGGAAAACTTAAAGGGATTTACAAAAGGTATAACTACGACACAAAAGTGAATGAACCGTTCTATTGTTCGTAAGCACATTTTATCTTCTACAGAAGTGAGAGGTTTCCTTTCTCCTACTCCTTCAAAAATTAGTCCTTGGTGTCATAGTCTTGATGTACAACTTTTTGAGAGGTTTTGTTGGAGAAATCCATTTTGCAGGTTAAAATCTGCAAAATATAGATGTCTTTTGTCCAATTTTATTTTTCACCCAGTGCTCATTTAAAGGAAGCCCTCAGGAGACATAAAAGACTTATGATTATAGGAAAAATTACATCTTAAGCTATCAGCTCTGCAGACTGCTCTTTTAACTTCACAAAACAATGAAATGCTGGCCCCTCACTGATATAAGCACACTATTATGTCAAATGGGAGAGAATGCATCCCAGTCCATGAGCTTCAGGCAATAGTACAGGTGCAGGGCACTTAAGAGATGGAAGCTCTAGACTTCCTTATTCCTATCTTGACAACACAGAGATATATCCCAGTGGGGACTACAATAATAATAAAAGGAAAGGTTATATTTCATTCCAAAATAAAGCAGGAAAAAAAATCTCCTCTCTCAGCTTAATTGTTGGGAATGTGTAGAAGGGGTGGAAAACCACTCCTAGCTGAGACTTGAGTTACTATCCATGGCCCTAAAGAGAATCTGGGGGACAGTATAGGCCTGGACTAGCCCTCCTGGACCTGATCCCAGACTGGCCTGTTGCACTCAGGTTAAAGACAGGAAAGATCTTGGAAAGCAGAAAGCACTTAGACACCAGTGGCAGTAACAATGGAGTGACCAGATAGATGTCCATTTTCTTTTCTTTCAACTTGAAAATAAAAAGAAAACCAGACAGCTGAATATGGAAGTGGGCCATACCATTCACAGAAGAAAAAGGGGTTTTCAAAGACCATGGCGGGGGTTATGAGGGGGACAGGGGAGAGCAGAGGTTGGAAATGAGCTCAGGCAGCGGGCTTCTCTCCTTTAAATATCTCCTTTAGAATCAACTCTGTGTGAGCCCAGCCTGGATTCATGTGGGAGTTTCTTTCCTTTTTCTCATTCTCCCGCCCACCCCCGCCCCCTGCCTTCTCTTCTCTTCTCCACTTCTACTCCCTCTTCCTCCTTCTCCTATCTCCTCCTCTTCTCTCTCTTCCTCCTCCTCCTCCTTTCCACATTCTCTTTCTCTCCTTCCTCCCCCTCTCCTCCCTTTCCTTCTTGTTTTTTCTTTTCATCTGAGAAACATTGCCAGTTAAGCATATTATTAGTTTAGGCAACAGATAACTTTTTATAGAGGCCTAATGAAGGAGCTCCCATTTTATAGGAGCTCTTACTTTAGAGATCTAATCTCTTCTATAAGTAGCTTTTAGAAGTCCCAGGATGAATGGGGCTTTCTGAAGATGTGAATAAAGACCACAGAGGACCTGCCAACCAAAGGATAAAGACATTAATCTTTTATTTGGACATAAACCTGGTATCTGGTAATAATTCTGAGTAGGTGGGAAACCCTGTAACCTTTTGAGATTCCCCAGGCACTTAACTTTCTGAGCAGTACCGTCATTGGGAACAGACAACTGGAATGTTAGAGTATAAACAATTACGGCCATAAAAATACTCAAACAGGATCTACACTACTCCCTCCCCTACTTCTTCAACCTGTGCAATCAGTGGCTACTGCCTATGCTCTTTCATGTCATGGCTTCTCTTTGATAACAAGAGGCCAGAAGGCACTTTCATATTGTTTTTGGACATCGCTGATAGGATCAGTGAAATGGGACACCACAATGGTACATCATGCAAATGTAATGTGACTTTTCATAGCCCTTCAAGGAGAGAATAGATGGCCATTCTAACAGGAGAGCTGCTGAAGTCCCTCCTCTCACCATTTTGGTTGTAGGACCAGAGAGAAAGCCTTTGAGCCTCAGAAACCCAACTGCCTTCCTGGATCTTCTGTGAGTTTTGGGTGAGCGGGTCTGAGTAGGGACTGAGTTCTGAGATGAAATCTTCAGGGAGACCCTCCTACTGTCTTCCTAATGAGCTGTTGGGACCCAGACCTTGCTGGTTAAGACCCTGAAGGATCACAGCACAAAGGGTAAAAGTAGAAGAAGTACAGATGTTTATTACGAATCAACTGAAAGCCTTTTCAGGCCTCTGACAAATAACAAAACAAAACAAAACAAACATCCTAATTACAGGACCTCCATGGTTTAATATTTCAAAAACAGAGATAAATACCTTGCTACATTTAAATAGCATGACCCTTTGGGCATTCTCAATAGCATTGGGAAAATTTCTACAGCCTTTGTAGAAAGGGATGTATAACCAATACATCCCAGACCCCTTCCCCCATGGAAAGCAATGCGTAGGGACTGGGCCCCTGGATGGACAATATAACCCATTCAGATTTCCTTTTAGGAAACAATTCCTCTTAGCTCTGGGGCAGGGATGTCCTTAGCATGTGGCTGTCACCTAGGAGGTAGGGGAGGAGGGAAGGTTGAGGATCAGAAAGATGCATTTATGGCTTTTATTAGGTGCCATGTTAGCACACCCCAGGGAGTGGGAGGCTTCTAGGTGTGAACTGAAACCGTCAAAATCTTGCTGATTGTTCATTGGACCCTCATTTCAGAAAGCAATGTTCTTTTTATAAATTCAGCTAACGTCACAAAACAAAGCACAATAAACAAAAAGGAGTAGAAAATGTTATGCTAAAAAAAAAAAAAAAAAAAAAAAAACCAATGAAATAATCAGTAGCACATTGCATCTGTGAGTGTCCCAGCTCCCTGTAACAGTTGTGTGTGATTTCTATCCATGGTCATGGTATAGGTGTTACACCCCAATCTTCATGTCCACGTTCTGTAGGTTCCGTGTCTCGTCAGCTGTCATACACTGGTCTGGGGTCTCCGATGACTCCTTGTTCACCAAATGCACCATCTCCTGAGACTTGCTGGCCTCCCCGTTGAGTCCACTTGGCTTTCTGTCCTCCACAGCTCCATTCCCATTGATCACCAGCTTTTTCTTCTGCCCGCACCTGATAATGTAAAGATCATATGAGAAAAGGGTGCAATGACCCAATCATCCGCATCACGAACAACATCACCAACATCATTATCACTCCGGTTTATACTGGTCTTTAGTATGCTTCCTCTTACTGACTTTTAGCAGTCATCACTTCTTAAAGTGAGGTCCCCTGAACCAGCAGTTAAAGTATCAGCCATGAGCTTGTTAGAAATGCAAATTCTTGGGCCCAGACCTAGGAGAGGGGCCCAGGATCAAGACCTTCACAGGGTTTCTGATGCAGTGGTCACAGCTCAGGAAGCCAAATGCCAATTATTCCCTATTACAGGTGAAGAAACCTTAGAGCTCAGAAAATTCAGTAACTCACCCCAGGTTACTCAACCCCTAGAGTATGACTCCTAAGTTCTAGTTCTCCTTTCACCATACTATGCAATGGAAATGTTTGCCTCTTATTAGTGCTTTAGCAATTTCCGCAGACTCAGATAAACCATCAACATGATGATCATAAATCATTCTGATTTGTGTATTCAAGGAAGTCTCATTAGGTGGATGGGAAAAAATTAACCAAAGAACATATATGCATAGACTATGGACACAAATAATAGTGTGGTGAAGGCCTGAGGATGGGTGGGGGTTAGATGGAAGAGGCAGGGGAGAGGGGAAATGGGAGATATCTATAATACTGTCAACAATTAAAAACAAAAAAAGTCCCATTAATTCCTCTCACAGTCAACATTGTGTTGGCCTTGTCGGGGTTATTACTGCATGTACTGAGAAGAATGAAACAACATTTAGAATGAAACAACATTTTTCTAGAACTATAGGCCGTATTGCTTTTTACCTCCCATATAACCCTGGTTATAGGGGGTTAACTACACAAGGCAAATAGTTCAATTACTTTAAGGTTTCTCACTAAAATTCCTTAAGATGCAAATCCCAAATGTTTTCTATGGAAGAGCATGACCTTGATCTTGTCCCTGCATCACAGCAATACCTCACCCCACGCAGCCTGACACAACACTTCCTCTTTCCTGTAACATGATCATGGCTACACATCTAGAAGTCAGACTGTGCTTCATGGAAACAAAATTGCAGATCCCCACAACTACAGGGCGGGTGGGGGTGAGGGGCAACGGGCTAGCATTTACTGGACACCTCCTGAGTGCCAGGCACTTCACATGTAACTCTATGTAATCCTCACAATAAGCCCACAATGCTGCTCTTATTCCCATTATAGGTCAGTGGAAACTGAGGCCCAGGGAGTTTAATAACTAACACCCAGCTCATAAGACAGAGTCAATATTCAACTCCAGGCCTTTATGACCCAAAGCCTGGACTCGGCCCAGCTCTCTTCATGCTGCCAACCATCTGGAGATGGGGAAACAGTATGTAGTCGAAATTGTTCACTTTGCCGCTGGATATTTGGAGTTGCAGAGACAAAGCCTCTATTATTCATGATTGTGGGCCATTCCTGCTAGCACTGCCAAGGCCATAAACTTTAATCTCTTGTTTGGGGAAATAGAAATTATACCTCCTCTATAGGAGTTAGATCCTGTCTCCTCTGGCCGGATGCTTGATGAGGGCAGAGGAAGGATGCTTGACCAATGCTGCAGACCCATGGGACTGGGAGTATAGATGCTGTCCACATAGACAAGAATGGAGCTCTGGAGGCGTGGTTTTGAGACTCTATTGCCATGTGACCTGGGGCAACTCTTACACTCTCTGAACCTCATCTTGCTTATCTGAAATATCAGACTATTAGGAGTACTGCTTTCACAAGATTGTGGAAAGCCCTCAAAACAGAGGCTGGCACTGTTTTATTTGTTGCTTTTACACTGTGGGTGAGGAAACCAAAGCCTTGGGTAAACACTTGGAATAGTATCTGGAAAACAGTAGATGTTCAAGAATAACCGGCTGTGACCTGGCTGGTGAGGCTCAGTTGGTTGGGCATTGTCCTGTGCACCAAAAGGTCTAGGGTTCTATTTCCAGTCAGGGCACATGCCTAGGTTGTGGGATCGATCATCAATACAGGGCGTGGAGGAGACAGCTGATAGATATTCCTCTCACATCAATGTTTCTCTCCATTTCCTTCTCCCTTCTCTCTACAATCAATAATTTTTTTTTCTTTTTAAACAATTACTGCTGTGATTAATATAGTGAGTACCACATGAAATGGGTTTCCCTTGCTTCTCTGGCTGCCTCTACTACTTCGTTACATTTACCATGAAGAGGACTTAAAAGCCTGAAGGTGGAAGGCTGCTCATGCTATTTTAGATTCTCGGTGGTATTTCCGGTGTTCTTTGAAAGAGAGGTGTCTCAGGAAAGTAATGGGAGCTAGAGAAGTTGAATGAAATGTTGCAGAAAGGTGATTTATAAGCATAAACAGGCTCGTGCACGGGGGTGAAGTGAGGATTCATGTTACTCACGGAGACAAAGCTGGTTTTGGAAGTGAATAACATCTGACCTGTGGGGTTTGGGCTTTGCCCTGCCCCCGATTCCCTGTGGATTTATGTGTCTGGTCCCTGCCTGACTTCTTTCAGGAGGGCAGGATGATTCTCATAAATAACCCAGCCCAGTCTGCTGTGCTCTAGGCATCAAAATAAGCACTTGAAAAACTCAAGTCCTAAGTTTTTTATTCTTCTTAGAAACATTTTAAAAGGAACATCAGCAATGAAGGAACTTGGGAGGCCAGCCAGCCTAGCCTTTTCATTGTGGAAACTGGAGATTGATCCCAGAAATCAAGGCTGTCATCTGAGACCGCATCACTAGCTATAATATGACAGGGTGATGGTGTCTATGACTTAAGACTTTCTGAGTCCAAAGGTCAGAGATCTCTACCGAACGCCACCTTGCCTGGAAATCCTTTCATTAGCTGTCCGCAGTGACCACACAATGTGGAAGGACCCAGGCTGGAGCCTTGCCAGGAGAGGGTGAGCAGCCTGGGTGATGGGATTGGGTGGGAGTGAGGAGGAGGTACATCTAGGGCACAGAGGAATTTCTTTTGAAAGACGTGGGGATAAATTAACAACTGATCTTATGTCTCTTCTACCTGACAATCCTTAAAGCCATTTAGAGATGTATTGTGCTTTGTGTTAGAGCTGGGCCACTACCACGTGTGGCTATTGAAATTTAAACTAATTAAAATAAATAAAATTTTAAAATTCACTTAAGTGGCACTAGCCACATTTGGAGTGCTCAGTCGCCCCCAGGATTTATGTTTGTGGATTGGACAGGACAGATGTAGAATCTTTCAGTCATCTTAGACAGTTCTGCTGGGCGGCTGTGTTCTCTAGGGTGGACCAAGGTCGGGTGAGGAGAGATTAGGGAGCTGGGCTGCAGCTTAAGGGAAGGCAGAACCGGCCACAGGGGATTATCTCCTTGAGAGTGAAATCTAGTGAAGGCCTTTTTTGCAGTCAGTGTAGAAACATTCCTGAATCACTCCTGTTTTGTGAAGCCTTTTTTGGTCATTATTTTTCTCCTCTTCATACAAAACAAATAAATTCTTTAAGGGAAAGGCACCTAACTTTTTCTTTTAAGAACCAACCCAAATGACTCCTAAAACCTAATAGTTTTTTTTTCCTAAGGACAGTGACTAAAGTACAATTTTCATTGGCAAGTTGCAATTCAGGGACTCTGGTTACATGAAGAACAGCTAGGAAAGGTGATGTGGGTTATGATGGGGATAGGAAGAGCAGAGGGAATAACGGGACCCTGACATGAGCAGCTTTAAGATGACATGACTCACAGATGATGTTGTCATGGATACCTGTGGTCAACCCGTGACTGTCAACTTCAGTGACTAATGATTTTCCATTTTTATCTTTTAACCATAATTCATAGGACAGTGCCTGGCACAGAGTATGTGCTCTATACACGTCAGCTGAGTCCAATCCAACAGGCCGATGTTGCCACCGAACCTCAAGATTCTTTTAGGGAAAGGGTGGTACTTTTTGTTTTTAATCTTCTCTTTCTCCTCACCAGGGTTGAGGGGCATAGCCACCCCTCAAAAGATGTCTGTCGAATAAAGAAGTGCCTGTTGTAGGTCCCTCCTTTCAACCCAACTTTCTTGGATGAAAATAGGATTCTGTGTCTCTAAAATGTAATGCTCCGAGCAGAAAGGCCCAGACTTTAAGAGGATTAAAAGAAGGCTGGCGACTTCAGAAACAGCGTGCATGAAGGAGCCTGGGAAGCCATAACCATTCGTTAGCTGCTTGGCAAATCTGTTTTTGATTATCAGATCAGGACATGGTAATTTATGGCGCCCATGCAGCTACTTTCCTGGTGAGATACGTGCTGTGCTGGTTCCTGGGTGTCCCTGTCTGCCCGTTGCTAGGGTGACTGCTGGTTTTGGGAAGAGCGGGAGGGTGCAATGGGGCCCTTTTTGCTGCTCACATGATGGGGAGCGACGTGTGAGCTAACCAGCTGCACTGTAGAGGCTCGGGTTGCTCTCAAGGGCAGCAAAGATGCTTCTTTGAGGTCTCCCCGATCGACAGCACCAGGGGCCACGTTTCCATGGTGACATGCAGAGCTCACGGACTGTACCTGTGAGCAGTGGCAGTGCATTCTAAGGCTTGGGGCAAAGGACTGATTTCCAACAATCGGGAATTCATATTTAGCTGAGCAAAAGTAACCCGAGGAAAAACAAGGACGCTGAAGGAAAGTATAAAGACTCTTTGTAAGGGTCCCTCAAGTCACATTATTTAAATTCAACTAAAAAAAAAAAAATCTCTTTCCATTTAGTCATAGGAGATTTCCAGGAGGTCTTTCAGATTTTCTTTCCTCGTTTTGTTCCTTATACATTATACAATCAACTACCACGACTATTTTTATCATGCCCTCAAAGGCACAGAGAGCAACACAGCTCTTCAATGTTAATATAGCACTTTTATTAACTTGTACCAGTGTCAGGCGGCATTATTTAATTTCCTTGGATAATTAGAGATACTGCCTGGGCCCCCCACCCCCCAACAGCAGTAGAATTAGGTATTTGCTGTTTTCCAAAAGCCAACGAGAATGATTCAATCATTTTCTCAGGTCCTCTCCCAAACCCGGGGCATTTTTCTGGCCTGTTAGATGCTCCAGTGTTACAATAAAAGGGACCCTTTATTGGAAAAAAGATTCTTTTACCTTAAAAGAAGAAATCTCAAGAGACACAGAAGGTTTAATGTTCTGAGCAAATGCTCAGAGCAAAAGCACATCTTGAAAGTGTCTTAAGCAGGAAATTGAGACTTATATTTGTGGAGTATCTTTGTCTAAGTTCATTTCTTCTGTTGCTAGAATGACTATTTTCCTTTATTTCACTTTAAATGGCTATATTTCTGGAGCCTTGTCACAGCTCAACCAGGAATATATATTGTTTAAATAGCTGCTGAATCTATCGGCCTTGGAGGAGGAAGAAAAGGAGGGAGAAAGGAAGGAAAGAAGGGAGGGAGACAGGGAAGGAGGAAGGGAGGGGAACCTTTGATGAAAACAGCTCCCATGTCAGTTCTAAGGACTTGTCTGTCTTTATTCAGACTTTCTTATGGGAAGTTCTTCCTTATTTCATAGACCACACTGTCAGGGAGCTCTCTGAGGCCATGATCTGAATCCTTTCAACTGCTGTGGCCAGAAAATAGAAAATAGTGTCCTTACAAAATTAACACACAAACTCAATTCCTGTTTTAAGTAAGGGTTCTAGAAAGCTCCATGGGCCTCAGATAGGAGATGACCAATCCCTGAATCTTTATATGGTGTTTTTGTGCATTGTGAATGCACTTACTACATATTTGGTTTAATAAATCAATAAATGAATATATAGTGTTATGCCTTTTTGATGAGGTGTTTCACAGTTTTTATCAAAAAGAGTCTCCATAGGGTTTACCCTCGAAATAATTAAGATTTCCTCGTCAGCTGGCTCAGTGGTTGAGCGTTGACCTATGAGCCAGGTCATGGTTCATTTCCTGGTCAAGGGCACAGGCTCGGGTTACAAACTCAATCCCCAGTGTGGGACATGCAGGAGGCAACTGATCAGTGAGTCTCTCTCATCATGATGTTTCTATCTTTCCCTTCCTCTGTGAAATCAATTAAAAAATATAAAAAGTAATAATTAAGATCCTCAAGAGATTCCACCACTATTTAGAAGTGAAGATCTAAGTGCCAGAGCAGGGCTACTTCGACTGTACCATGCACATGAATGTCTGAGGCCTCGTCCAAACAGACTCTGACACAGGAGGTCTGGGTGGGGCCTGAGGTCCTGCATTTCTCACAAGCCCCAAGTGCTGAGACTGCTCGTTCCAAGGGCTATGCTCTGAGCAGCAAGGACATAGAGTCCAAGTTTAAATGATGTCCTTCCAAATCAGAGGCTCTGAGGAGCATCCCCTTACCTTCTTCGGCTGTTGACAGCGATGCAAACTGCGAGAATCAAAGCCAGGGCCAGGAGGGACGCCAAGATGATCAGCCACTCTGGTGGGAGTGAAGAAAAAGACACCCGTGAAGATGGGAAATACACTTTGTGAAAATAAACATGCACTCTATAAAAGTGACCTGGCCCAAACAAGAACCACAGTCAGCACAACAGATAAATTCGACCAAAGGGCCCAGCCAGTCGGCAGATAACACGAGAAGAGAGATTTTGCTATAGCTGTTGGTCCAGCCGGCCTCATGTTTTAATCTCTCACCATCAGTTAGGATTTCCAAGTCCCTCCAGGAGAAACATGTTTCCAGAAAAAATGTAGAATGACCTGTTGAAACTCGTAGATGCCCTGGGTTATTAACCAGACGGAAGGAAATGTATTCTCCCCTTAAAAGTAACATTCTTTCCTGTATCAGAGCACCCATCTTACATTTGATTAGAAGCAAAAATGGAGGCCACAGTCTAGTGAGTGCGAGAAAGGGCAGTCCTGTGGGAGGTTGAACTTGTGCACATTAGCTTCATTCATTATATAATTAGGGTTCATTCATTATATAATGTACTACAATGTGTGTGGGGAAATATTCAATGACATTGGAAAGCTATGCTCCCCCCCCCCCCCCGCCCCAGTTGAGAATTACAATTTGCTAAACAAAGCATGTATGGTGTAATTACACTTTTATATATAAATTACATTGAAAATGACTGGAAGGTCATCAATGAAAATGGTAACCAGGGCACTTCTGGATAGAGGGGGTAGATAACTGATTTACACTTTTGTCCTTCAGTTGCATTTTCTGAAATGTCTGCAACAATTAACGCATCACTCGTGGACTAATAACATGTTATACACATGTTTTTACATCAAGCTTTAAGATATTAAAATATGACCAGACAACTTGAATAATTTCAGCTGCCAAGTGGGCTGTGTATCTGTGCAATGAACTACAGCTTGGGAAATCAAGATGGACAGTCAGTCACTGCCCATTTGCCTTTGGGAGTCTTGGTGCTCCTCTGATTTGCTGCTCAGGGAGTGCTGCCTCTGCCTGACCTCTCCCTGGTTAGGTGAGCTTGGAGAGCAGGGTCTAATCAGGAGGTAGGGAACCACTTCCGTTCATCCCTGGGTCTCTAGCCCTGAGATGCCCCCCATTCCCTCTCACTGGGGCTGGGACAAATCCTGCTGCCTGATGATTGCAAATTTCATCCCACCCGCCCTGTCCTCCCTGGCAGCCCATGCCTTCTCCACATGCTCTGCCTCTAGCTGAGCCCAGGCAAGCTGAGGCAAGGGGTCCGGGCCCACAGCACATTCTTCCCTTTCCCACAGGAGGCTCAGCTTGGAGAACTCTGAAGAGGAGGGATAATTTGCAACCCTAGGAAACCCTCTTACAAATGCTTAACTCTGAGCCCAAGTCAAGTAAAGCATTTCCTTCTAATGGCTTAAATCTTGAAACTCAGAAGAGCCAGCTGTCTCGGTCCCCTCACTGCACCAGTAACACTTTCTGAAACTTTGTCTGGATCCGTGAAGACCCGTCCCTTGAGAAAAAGCACTTTGGGGACCAAAAGAATGTTTTCACTCCACCCAATGCCCTGTCTGCAATGTGAGAGGAATGTTACACATGTCATCCCCAACCCCAGAAATACAGGGGAAACTGAACCGCGATAGCAGGACATGGGCATGACATGGAGTCCCCTGGACCATCGTGCATTTGGGGAGGAAGCTTTAGGACCTAATGTGGCTCTGCTTTGGGACCTGGGATAAAAGAACGTTTCATCTTTTCCGATCTGTTACTGTCATCCATCTTTAGCTTGCCAAGAGGAACTATCAATTTCAAGGGTTGGACATTTAGGAAAATGTGCTTTCCAACTGCTTGCTTCTTACTTTCTGGGACATTCAGCAAGACCTGCTTTTAGCATCATTCTCTCCCCTCCTCTTCTCCCCCCCACCCAACACAGTTCAAAACTCACCTGGAATTTGAGGTTTCCTCATAGGACCCGAGGTCGTGTTGGGCCCACCTCCTTGACTATCTCTGTTGTGTCCTAAGGGGAAAAACAACATCTGTCATCCAATGTTTGGAGGCGAGGTTTACAACACACGGAGCCAGCCTCTATACGCTGAAGCCACAGGCGTTTATAAAGTGCTACTAGAATCTCCCCAGAGCCGAAACCGGTTTGGCTCAGTGGATAAGAGCGTCAGCCTGCGGACTGAAGGGTCCCGGGTTCGATTCCGGTCAAGGGCATGTACCTTGGTTGCGGGCACATCCCCAGTAGGGGGCGTGCAAGACGCAGCTGATCTATAACTCTCTCTCATTGATGTTTCTACCTCTCTATCTCTCTCTCTTCCTCTCTGTACAAAATCAATAAAATATATTAAAAAAAAAAAAAAAATCTCCCCAGAAATGTTCCGTTTGATGTAGGCCAATGTATTATTGAAACATGCTTTGTGTTTGAAGAATGAACATTTTCTTCTGCTACAAAACAAAACAGGAAAACAAACAAAAATCTCAGACTGAAAGGAAGCATCGCAAGACAAAGGATCCACAAGTCGGAACAGGAGGCTTATTACCAAAACCAGAGGCGTCATGTTCTAAAAGAAACTCTGAGACGTTTTGTGAAGAGACTCACCCAAAGGAACAAGCTGTGCTTTTTCTTTGTGTGTATTTTTCTTTTTAAAAAATAAATTTTTATTTATTTCAGAGAGGAAGGAAAAGGGAAAGAGAGAAACATCAATGATAAGAGAGAATCATCGGTCAGCTGCCTCTTGCATGCTCTCCTGGGGATGGAGCCCGCAACCCAGGCATGTGCCCTGACCAGGAATCAAACCATTACCTCCTGGTTCCTAGGTCGACTCTCAATCACTGAGCAAGCTGGCCAGACCCTTTGTATTTTATATGCTTCCTTTACTGCTCCCACTAAAATGAAAATATCCCACTAACATGAACTCCTACAGAGCAGGATTCCACTCTGAATCTTGAAGGCCTCCCAGGGAAGAAACAAAACAGGAAGCTGTGTGGGTAGTCCATGAATGAAGATGGCTGGGCTTATAATGAGACACTCTCCTAAAAGAGTCAACCTTCGGACTATGCACAGCAGGCATTGAAGTCTTGATTATGATGGTTATTTTAAATAGGTGGCAATCTGACCTTTATGTTAAACTCAAGTTTTACCTTAAGTCTGGCCATTTCAACACACTGATGCCATTTTGACGTGGCCTCTCACTTTACAAACCTCAGAAAGAGTCCAAGACTCTTTCTCTAGCTGCCTACCAGAGTCTGCAGTCACTGGCCAGTGTCCACCTGCACAGGTCAGTGGATACTGGCCATTTAACTAGAGATCATTGGCCTCAAAAACCACCTCCGAGGTGCAGTCACCCTCACTGGTCTTTCCCTGACTCACGGCAGCCTTTGCTATTTGTAAGGGAGGCCACGAAGGGACCATAATCTCTTTGTCTATTTTCCAAAAAAGTGCTCCCAGCAAGGAAAGATCGGGGTGTGTGTACAGCCAGATGGAATGGCCTGCTTGAACAATAGACACCTGCACAGGAGTGAAACAAAAGAGGCAGCTCCCGCCCACTTCAGGCAAAAGCCAAGAAGATAGACTAGATAGAGCAGGTCTCCCCTTGCGTCCAGGAGGTCTGCAAATGCAGCTGGGGAAGGACTGGCGGGGAAGGCAAGCTCTGCAAAGGGGAACACTGATACTGCAGTTGGAAAGGAGAGCCAATCTGAGACATGTGCACAGAGATCATTCGATTTGCCTTAACTGTGAGAAAAATAGTCTACGGCAGTGGTCTGCAAGCTGCGGCTTGCAAGCCACATGCGGCTCTTTGGCCCCTTGAGTGTGGCTCTTCCACAAATACCACATGCGGGCACGCACATACAGCGCAATTGAAACTTTCTGGCCCATGCACAGAAGTCGGTTTTCGGCTCTCAAAAGAAATCTTAGTCATTGTACTGTTGATATTTGGCTCCATTGATCAATGAGTTTGCCGACCACTGATCTAGGGCAATGCTTCTCAAGCCTGATATAGATGCAATTCACCTGGTGGAGCGGGAGGCTCTTGAGTCAGTAAGTCCAGAGTGGCTGGGATTCTGCATTAACAACCAGCTCCTAGGTGGTGTCTCTGCTACGGGTCTAAGGACCGCAATTTGGAATCGTTGGAGTTTTTGGATTTTAGAGAGCAAGTCTTTTAGTAACAACCCCCTGTCGTTTCTAAATTACTTTCAAATTCCTGATGCCTCATGTTCTTCACAAGAACTCCAGGAGGTAACCAAGGCCAGTGTTCTGATCTCTTTTTACCCAATAAGGAAATTGAGATTGAGAAAGGCTGACTGCCCCATCCCTGGGCCCCAGAGAGCTTTGGACTTTGGTCCTCACGTTAGAAGCATTTCTGATGAGCCCACTACATCCCTGTCCCCCTAGGTAAAAGGTTATTACCAAAACTACTATGCAAATGCCCATCTTCATTGTGCTTTAAGTGTGCAAATCTGTAAGCCTGGAGGCAACTCTACTTTCCATGTAAGCATGATAGCTTATAAGGATGACCTCACTTGATGCTCGGGGTCACCTCGGTAAGATAGCACCAGCACAGCCTATCAGCAGCCCTAGCATCAGTGGTCACCAGGAAACCTGCTTGTGTCAGACTTTTGCTGCCTGGAGTAATGTTTCCAGGAGTGTGCTCTGAGTCACGGTAAATAGGAATCCATTGACTAATGCATGTCAGGTGGCAATTATGGTCACCATAGGTTGCTTTCTCCTGACTCTGCTTGTGAGAGGCGATAGGAGACCCCTGGGTTTGAAACGTGGCTCCACCACTCAACTCACTAGTCATGTCAACTCAGCTAAGTTACTTAGCAGCTCTGAGCCTCCGTGTCCTAGTTAATAGTGGGATAATAGTACTTCTTATGTGGGCCACAGGGTATGTAGGATGAGTAAGTGAGTTAATAATAGATGAAACATATAAAATACATTTAATTTCATATATGACTCAAATTGACATACAGAAATGGCAGTTTGATCGGGTCTATCCTAATACACAATGAATTTTGATGAAATGCTAGCTATTATGCCATGTGTACTATCATTTAGTCTTTTAAACCAGATCGGTGACAATTATTATTGTTATTTTATTGGTTAGGAAATTGAGTCTCAGATCCTTTCAGCAACATCCCCAGTTTGGATGTGGAGGAGCTGGATCAAACCAGTCTTATTCCAAAACCCAGGTTTTTAACTGCTCTGATGTAGTGAAATGTTACCTTGAGACCCTGCTTGGATTCTCCCTAATCCTTTCCACCCAGACATGCAGAATCAGAAACTTTAAGGATGGGGCCTAGCAGTGTGGTTTAATAAGCCCTTCCAGCTATGGTGAGGCATGCTAAGAACGTTAGAGAATCATTCAGGAATTATCAGCAGGTTCCATGATGACGAGAGTAAATGACTAAAGTGGCTCAAACTCACCGGTTGAGTCATATCCTTTCGTGGTAGGGTGCCTTCGGCTGGGGTCTTGTTCATCTGTAAGGAACAATCAGAGAAGGTTCAGTATCGTGTGTTCCAATTACACTGCCATCAGCATTTCCTCATGCTCTTTGCTTTCGTCACAAAGCTCAGTCTGTTAAAGGTAAGCAAAATGATGGCAAAGGACCTGTGAATGGGTCCACAATATGCATTTCTATTCATTTCTTAGTCCATTGATGAGTGGGCTAGAGATTTCATCAAAATTAGGAAACCTGGTTCAGCACAGACCATCAGGATGACCAGAGGAAGTGTGGCTTTGGTAGAAACCCAATAACTGTAACACGAGAACAAAATGATCATCATGTGTTCACAGGTCTGTGGTTGGGATTTGATACTGTTTCTTTGAAATAGGGACTCTATGTTTTGAATGATGACAAACTTGATCACTGGGAATGCATGTACTCTGTGGCTTAGGGCATAAGACATTTGAAGAGTATTCTCCGAGGCAGGAAATAGAAAAAGGTTTTGGTATGCATATAAGATCTTGGGGTTAAATTCAAAGAGAGGTCAACTGTTTATTTAAAGAAAATGTCTGAAAATAAGTGAAAAGAAAAGAGGGAGATGATAGTTAATATGTGAGTAATGTACTCCTTTATTAAAACATGTTTCCAATATAAAATCTGCATTTTCAACACCAACAGTTAATATAATTCATCTTCTCCAATATCCATCGCCAAAAGGCTCTTGATTGAGACAAGTTTATGAATTGCTAAACTCTGGATCCCCAGGTCAAATATTTAATTTAGCATATGGAAACTCTTACCCTTCCTCCTCCTCCTCCTCCTCCTCCCACACATTTCCCAAAACTATACTGGAATCTTAAAACAAAAATGACAATGATTTCATAAAATGACTATAGTTACCCATTATGAAGGTACCTATAAGGGAAATACCATAGTCTGATCACCACCATTTCCCAAAAGGTGGAAGAAGGTGACCTATAATGGCTCATGTACTTGTATAGAGGAGACACATTGCTTTGTTCCTTGGCTGATGGTTAGAATAATGAAAAAAAGAATTTGCTGAAAAGCCAGGACCAATACCCTCGAAATCACTACCACAATCACCATCATCATCACCACCACCAACAACAACCAACAACAACCACCATCACCATCACAATTTCAGACGTTTTAATTCTTAAGGTTAAGCATAAAGTCTGAGAAAAATTGGAAGAAATGAGAACTTTTTGAATTTTGAAAGAAAACAAAAAATGAGAGTTGGATCCCTTATTAATCATTGAATCCATGGAGAACCATGAAAAATCTATTGGTACCACCATGGAATGCAGAAGAAATGAGAGTACATCGATACCAATTTTGTAGAAAGCCTTTTATTTACTAACAATAGTCTATATAATCTTTCTAGGCTACTGTAACTATTTAAATTGCTACTTAAAATTTAAACTCATGTCACATGACAGGTCTCGTTTTGCTAAGAAAAATTAGGCAATGCTCTAAGGTTCACTTCTACAGAAAAAAGCTGAAAATGATACTTGGAAATTTTAATGACTGAGGGTAGAACCATGCTGAACAAAGAACCAAAGAGTGTGAGGGGCTCTGTCTTGCCAATATTGCCAAGATTAGTATTTTTCCATGGAGCTTGTGTTCAAGTAATCCTTATTTTATTTACTAACTAGAGGCCTGATGCACAAAACTTGTGCAAGAGTAGGCTTTCCTTCCCCAGGCTGTGGGCACTGGTTTCCTTGGCAGCCCCAGATTCAACGTCCATAAGGATGTCTGGTCTAATTAGCATATTATGCTTTTATTATTATAGATGCCACTTTCACATATCTTTCACTATAATATATTGTTGTAATTCCATTTTATTATTAATTATTGTTGATTTTGTACTGTGCCTAATTTTTATAAATTAAACGTTAGCAGTAGACCCTCCTTATCTCTGGGATGGGCAGCCAAGGAAAGAGGCTACATAAGTGACATTCTGGGTTTCTGTCACCGCATCAGTCATCTGTTAAATATATTGAGTTCTCATAAGATTTATTCTTCTTTGGGGAAGGGAGAGAAAGAACTTATGCTACAAAAAAAATTACAGTTGTCCCTCCTTTTCTACTGGGAATACGTCCTAAGACCTCCAATGGATGCCTGAAAAATACAGATAGTACAGAACCCTATACATGTCTTTTTTTCCCATACATACAAACCCATGATAAAATTTAATTTATAAATTGGCACAGTGAATTTTACAACAACAATAATAAAATAGAACCTATACAAAATCTACACTAATAAAATAGCAAGATACAAACCAACTTACCTTTGCAACTCCCTCCAGCCAATCGGGAGTGAGTATGCAAATTAACCCAAATATGGCAGGTTATTTTGCATACATGAGCCATGGGGATGATGCAGGCATTCTGCACCACCCCAGCCGCTCTGGGCCTTTAGGCAGCCAGCAGCGGAAGGAAGGCCCATTCTTGCCCAAATCTTTGTGCATTGGGCCTCTAGTATACTATAATAAAAGTTATGTGAATGTCATGTTAGGGAGTAAAATAAGGGTGATTTGAACACAAGCACTGCAATGATATGACAGTCTTCCTGATTATGGAGATGGCTAGTAAGTGGCTAAGGGGAGGGTAGCATATATAGTGTGGATACATGGAACAAAGCGATGATTCACAGGTGGAGACAGAGCAGGACAGCATGAGATTTCATAAAACTACTATGAATAGCACACAATGTAAAGCATATGAATTATTTCTGGAATTGTCCACTTGATATTTTCAGACCACAGTTGACAACAGGTAATTGAAGCCATGGAGAACAAAACCCTAGATTAAGGGGGGACAACTGCATGTTTAAAATCACTAATATTTAATAGGCATTCGTGGTATTAGTACTTAAATAACCAGAAGGAGAGGATTTTAGTTTCTTAGCCAGAGTAGGGACTTTCCAGTTCCTTTTTCTACAATGTTAGTTTTTTTAATACATGAGCCGTGGAGAAACAAATGGAGAAACATACAAAACAAAACAAAAAAAAACAGAAGGAGGACTGTTTGAGAAAACAAGTCTCATTCTGAGTCCATGTCCAACTTAATTGAATGTCATCTTCAGCCATCTCTTTGCCACTAGAACAAGAGATAGTGCCTATTCATTAATAGTTGATTTTATCATAAAGTTTTAAGTATGCATCATAATTAGAGGTTTATCCACAAGCCCTTCACCAAAAGTAAAATTCACCAATCCATCTCATGAAAGTATGAGATAATACTTACAGAGCCAAGGTACTAGTATATGGAAATTATTCACATGTTGGGTAAAATTTTACTAAGTAGGCAGCATGTTGTTAGTTGAATAAAATAAAATAGCTAATATTTAACTTCTTTGACTTACAAAACTATCAATTTCATATGGATCAACTTAATATGTCACAAGATCAGAAACAAGGCAAAGAAAGAAATTCTACCAAAATAAATAGAAATGACATCAGCAAATGAAAGCATTCTTAATCTCAACTAAGCCTAAATTTACTTGCACTAGAATGAGGACATGATAAAAACCCTTCGCAAGTCACAAATCAGCCTAATCACAGCCTTCACAGAAAATGCCCCGTATAACATGAAAGTATGTGTTTTTCTACATTACCTGGCAAGTGACCATCAACATTAACATTAGAATCTCCAACAGTAACTTCAGTAACTCCAGGGGACTCAGTGTTAGCAGGGGTCACTGGGATGAGGGTTGTGTGCTCCTTAGTGTCTGGGGAATGAGAAGTATAACCTTCCACTGAAGTAGCTGAGTCTTCAGGAAGATTTCCACCTCCGCCATCATGCCTATCTGTGTAGAGGTGGAGTCAATGGTAAACCGACATCTGTGAGGCCACCACCCATCGTGTGCTTGTCTTTAGAACATGCAATTATTGTAAAAGCTTTCCACTTGTTATTTGTGAACACAGAGCAAAAGATAGTCTGAGTTACACTATTGCACAGAATCTATATTTTGCAATTGACAATACCTGGACATCACTCACGGAAGAGATTTTGGTGATTCTAATGCCCAGAAAAGACATTCGTTGTAATATCTATCTGGGTTATTAAAATAAGGATTATGCCACTACAACTATGACCTTGAAGGCAACTCGGGTTCTAGATTATCTTGAGCTCTTACTCAATTGGACCCACCTATAAGGGAGTGGAGGAAACTTATCTTTGAATTAAATGGTAAATGTGCTGTGATTGGAATAGCCAATGCAAGGATTCCAAGACCTGAGGTTTTATTTTTTTCCTTTTCCAGAAGGCACTGCTTCCTAATCACCAACTCCATGGATTAATGGTCCAGAGTATAAATGGCAAAATATTATAATTAATGCAAGGAAAACAGGAAGTATAATTCAGATCTTTATATCAACTATAAATCACAAATAAGCAATCTAAATCTATTATAGAATTCAAAAAAACCAACTTTTAAGATTAAGATATAGAGTTGCATTTCATGTACAATGGCTTCTAAAAAGTCTACAAAGCAGAAAAATCAGAGGCCCATCACCAGCACACCTTCTAATCAGAAGTAACAGCACAACAACAGCCAAGGAATGCACCTCCACCAAAGACACTGTGCAAAGACACCCATAACAGAAGCCACCTGGGCTTTACCATCCTTACTGCTAGATGTTGGAGTGGACATCATTGACTGGTCTTTATCTTCTTCCAAGCCTCCATGTGATGTAGAAAAGCTCTGAGTATGACTCTGCTCTGTTTCAATGAGGGATGAATCCAGCATTAGTTTGAAGCCATAAAACAAATCCTGTTATCTTGCTGACAGAGAGGATTTAGCTAGAGTGTCAGGCAAGAGCATAATACCACCAAGGTTTGTGCATATCATTCCCATCTGATTGATTAAAATGTACAACAGAATTCTGTTTTACCAGTTGGCTCTCAAGAGCCTTTGTTTGTTTCAGTATAATCAACAAAGATAAGTTGCCAAACCTAAAGCCTGAGCCAAAACTTTATCTATCCCAGATCATCCGACCCAATGGTAACATTACTTCCATCGCCGAGGAAAACCAGAGTACATAGACACAGAGGAAGAGCAATGTTTGAATCCCAGTGTTCCCATCAGCAACCAAGAGCACCCAGCTGTGTGTCAAGAAGTGTGCCTGCAGTGAAACAAGTGGATGACCATAACCACAAAAGAGGAATAAGTTCATCTAGGATGACTTGCTCAGGTAACTCAGATCAAATGTATAAAAGGAAATGTTTTACTCCCTCCTAAAGAACATTAAATTAAAGTTACTTTTTACTCCACTATTAGGTTTTTGATCTCATCTGTGGATGGAGATTTTCATCATTGTACTGAAACACCAGGAAACGCTTGCCTGGGCAAACACAGGGCCCTCATTGTAGTCCATGCAATTTGAGGTTGAACCACTGCCCATATTTGAAATCACTCTGACTGTTTTGAGTTAATTTCTTTTGTATTCTTAGAAAAGGACTGACCTCTGAGTTACAGGTGCAAGCACCCCATAAAGCACTCCCATAAGCCATATCCACCACCAAAGTAAACATTACAACCAGAAGAGAAATATTCACCAAATCCCAAACCAAACATCAAAACAAAAGTCAACAAGGACATAAAGTAGAAATACAAGACCCTCGGTTGGCAGGGACCATTCTTTGGTGTATCTGCATCCTATTTAATGCTTAATACTGTGCTGGTTACATTACTTTATTTTATTTTTATCGTCAAAAGTATTACAAATGCCCCCCTTTTCTCCGTCACCACACTATGGATTACGCATATTGTGCTAGTTACATTTTTGACAGTCAACCCATGCTTGATGACTTTTTCCTTTGTCTAAAGGGCACACATAAATAACTGTGTCCGACATGCATAGCAAGCAGTGAAATGAGGCCTTCTTAATTCTGGAACTCTTTCATTGTCTGTCAAGAAATTATGAATGACTTTAGGCTGATATCTAGGATAGCCCTGTACATATAATGAAAATTAAGTTTAGCATTGCTTCTACCAGACATTTAGTGATAGGAAGAAGCATTAGCAAATGTTCTAATTTGTACCCAGGCCTTGCCACCTTTGTCAGTTGTCAGTAATATGCCTTGCCCCTCTTCTATAGGCTGATGTGGTTTCTTTATTTTCTATGATTATATGTCCCAAAATGGTCTTTCCACCACCATTAAAACAACTCTATCCCTCTTCTTCTTCGATTGAAAAAAAGATAGGAATCAAAAGAGGGTGGTCAGTGTCCAGCCAGTGTGGCCCATTGGGTGAATGTCAATCTATGAACCAGGAGGTCACCCTTCAATTCCCGGTCAGGGTATATGCTCGGGTTGTAGGCTTGATTCCCAGTAGGGTGTTTCTATCTTTCACTGCCTTTCCCTTCCTCTCTAAAATCATTTTTTTTAAATATATGTATTTTAAAAAGGGGTTGGTCAGTTAAAACATAGGGAAAAAAGTCACTGTCCTAGCCATGGGCTTAGATGACACTGCCATAACTACTTAGGAAAGAAAAACCAAGTTGAATGGAGTTGCACTTTTTTTTTTTTTTTTTAACAAAGTAATTGAATTTGGAAAGTACCAAGAATAAAGGAAAAATCACATTTAAAGAACTCCACCAAGAAAATATAGAAGAAATAAAGACAGCTTTTATGCTCTGGGTTGAGCTCAGCCACAAAGCTCAAAATACACCATTCCACCACCAAGCTCTGGATCTGCGCCAGTGTGAGCCAAGAACTGAAGCAGGAACACTAGTCAATAAAGGGCTGAATGTCATTATCCTTACGAGTTGTCACTGGAAGAGGTCCTGTCCTGTCCAGGTCTTCCACCAAACCTGTGTTTGAGTCTTCAGAAGGCTGAAGTGTTGTACTATGGCTGGAGTCCATATCTGAAGGAATTAAATCAGTGTTATAGTTGGATTTCCTAAACTTCTACCTGAGGGTGGTTTATGATCTAGACCCAAATTATTCTTATATTCAAACCTGGATAAAAGGAAAGAAAGCAAATACTGATTCATGTCTCCAGAATTGGAGTAGATTATGGCTTCTTCAAGAGATCCCAAGAAGTTTCATTGACAGGTTAAGTTCTATGAAAGCTACAATATTTTGCTTATTTTTGCTGAGTCTGAAAGGACTCCAACTGAGCACATGATGGGCCTCTCAAACCTTGCAGAGAGACACACATAAGCAGTCTGACTTGTCCCACTCCATTCACATTTGCCTTTCTTATAGACACATGGGATCCAACACATGGAGAAAAGACAATGTTCAGGTACCCTTCTGTCACATACACCCTTACTTGGCAAAATAACTTCTTTTACAGCCCTCTTCCCTGCATTGGTCTCTTCCACTTTACAAAGAGAACTTGCAAATAAAACATAAATTCATCACCCACTGTGACCCAAGTAGAAGCCACAGGAAGTATTCAGAAGCAAGGAATAAGAAGCCATGGATATCAGTGAATCAGTCATTCTGTCAACACAGATATGTGGCATCTTTGAAAATTAATATGTACAATGTTGAGCGGTACAGAAATGTCCCTGAAATAGTCACAAATGCTTTTTTAATGGTGATTATAAATCAATTCTGTTGAAATAAGTCCTGAGTGAAGTAAAGACCAAATAACCTATAAACACTATCACTATTGTTGGCTTTCCATCCACACTGCTGCCTCTAGAGAGATTGAATTAGTTCCAGATGACTCCAGAGGGGAAAAAATGGAATATTGGGTACCCATGTCTACACTGCAGTCCTTACATACAAAAAGAAAAGAAAAATCAAGATCTTTGGAGGAAAAAACATGGCTGATTCTATCATCCTAGATTTCAAAAAAGAGGAAAGGCTAGCTAACCCAAATCAAAACCTCACATGGCTATTTTTCCAGAAAAAGTCCTGTTTGTGGATGATCTCTAGACACTCTTGTTTACCTTCCCTGTTATCAGCAGAACCTTTCATGAGGTATCACACGGTATTATAGTTTGAGCCAATATGCTTGTCCTTGTCATGCTTATCAATTTAATGGAATCTCTTTCCGTTCATCAGTGTCGAGACTTAACACTGATTCTGAAGTTATTTCACTGTGGCTTGGTTTTCCACTAATATATCATCAGAGCCTCCAGAAGTCACATGCATAAACATGTGTGTGAACTGCATGTGGCACTTCAGCCACTCATGATGGCTACAGCCTAGCCATTCAAACTCATCTTCCTTTATGACAAATGGATCTGTTCACTTCAACAAATTCATTTCTTGGTTTTCCTTCCTTTATGCCTCTTCCTACATGAGTTTTCCCACAAAAACTTTCCCTGACTTTCTTTCTCTGACTATCCAGGATTTCCTCCCATTTTTCAAAAACCAGGTCCAATCCACCTTTCTCTGATGCTCCCTGGCGGGTCCTCTGAATTTCTCTGGTGTTGGCAACATTCATTTGACATCTACTACTTGCTCTCTTGTATTGTTAGATATATTGTGGTGCTGAATGTTTTCTTTTCCTACTTAACTATTAACTTCCTTAAAAGCATGAATCATGAATTGTACATTGTTGTGGCTCCACATGCCTTGCACAACATTAATCGATATTTAATGTCAATGTTGTTTTTAATCACTAGTAATTTGGCAATAACTGTTCATTAGTATTTGAGAATGACACAATTAGGGGGTTCTAAAGATACAAAACCATAAAATCTGTTAAATTCATTTTGGAGATAACTTTGTTCAATTCACTACCCAAGAGACATGGTCATTGTGCTCTTGGAAACTCATTTTAATAAAGTTCGTGTTGTACATTCCCTTTGTAGCTTGGATCCAGATTATGCAATGCTATAAATAATAATTCTCAATCCCATATTGGATCTTTGGCTTATCTCCATTTTTGGAATGTTACATTTCTGTGACCAAGGCATCTTGTTAAGTAACAAAACTCGAGTAACTCTTCATGGATATAATAAGAATCATGGATTCTTTAAGTTAGGAAAGCCTGAGAAAAGGTCATCATCTGCTACCAATTCTCGCAGATTCTCTAGGGAAAGTTGTCATCTGTTGTGATAAAGGAAGACTTCTTTTTAAATATAAAAACTTGTTATATCCTCCATTCTTACAGAACTACAACTAGTATCTTTTTTATTCTCTCTCTCTCTTCTCTCTCTCTCTCTCTCTCTCTCTCTCTCTCTCTCTCTCTCTCTCTCATTTAATTGTTTATTAATTGCTGAGAGATAATTTGAATGATGTTTAAGGAAACAGATTCCATTCTGTGTCCATTTATGAAATTCATAAACATTTATCGAGGATCAAGAGTGGTCTAAATCTTAAGTCACAGGAACCATATTTATTTCTAAATGTGGTAAGAGTAAATGTGATAAAGTTTTCTGAGCTTTTTCATTATTTTTTTAGAAGAAGCACTCACCAATTTTTTTTTTTTAGTAGAGAAAGCTAGAGACAAGTTATATCTTTGAGTCTACAGTGGAAATCCATCATTTTATTCTTTTAAAAGCCCTGCACTTAGAAGTAAATGAAAAAGGACTCTTGAGACTGCTCCCTCTTCAAAGAAAATGACTTTCACTCCTATCAATTTAGGACCAATTCTCTTTTAACTCTCCTGCCAAATTCTTCACTCTCAGCTCAGCACTTCAGATTCAGATAAATGGGCATATCACTTCTACAAAGGAAGCAAATTTTTGAAGAAACTTCCTTTTTCGTCTTAGGAAAGTAGAGTGGTCTAAAACCAAGGGCTTATTTGTAGACTTTGCCAAAACATAATATAAAAAGGTTCAGAGGCTATTACCCATTCTTCTTTCTGTTTGATGACCTCGTCCCATTGGATGTGAGATTGGGTCCCAAAAATAAGTCCAGGAACTGTCCTCTTGACTCGGTGTTGTCATTCTTTGATTTGGATGGGTGTCATAAGCTGAGGCTGGTGTGACTATGCAGTTCAAGCAATTGTCAAAGTGTTAGTGACATCTGACCAGAAATAACTGATTTTTTAAAAATACACTTTTTTTTTTAATCTGAACAAGACAATGAAAACATTTTCCTGGTATCAAAGCCAGGAAGTTGTATAAACACAGAATGTTTTAGCAGATATTAGTTCATTCATGCTCATTTTCTTAGCAAGCAGCATGCGAACTGAAGAACACAAAAGCACTGACAACTTCTCCAGTGGACAGGAGATGAGTTACAGACATCAAGTGAAGATGAAAAAGGAGTTCTTGACCCATGCCATGTTGCCACCATCCCCACCAAAGGAGGAAGTATAAGAGTCCAAGCCCATGATGTCATTCCGAGACAACCACATCCTAGTGAAATGCACATTAGGATGGTAGTGAGTTAAAGAAGGAATCAGGTAACAGCTTCTCATGAGATAAACATGAGAGTAAGTGCCATTATCTCAAAAGCTTGAATGAAATCCATTAGAAGCATTACTTTTTTTTTTTTTTAACTTAGAAGCATTACCTTTTAACAATGAGATTTATGGCACAAATGACATGTAAGAATGTAGCACATGCTTTTGCTTCATCCCGTGCCAATGAAGAAGGATAGGTAGAAAAAATTACAACAGTAGCCCCTTAGCAACAACCAACCACATCACATAGCCAGTCACTGAATCTGTTGCTCTGCCAGGAATGCGTTCAGGAGTTGCCACACACATAAAGTACATTATGCATTATATTCCATGTCACCAAAGGAAGCATGGGGATATCTCTTACTGACACTAAGTGAGAATATCATTCTTAAAGGGAATTCGTGTTCTTTTATAAGACAGGGTATATTGCAATGTTTCTGTGATGCAGACAAAAAAAATCACTCATAGGAGCTCGCAGAGTCAAGTTATCGGGCCTCACTTAGACATGGTGACAAGACTTGAGCCCAATTTCCACAATCCCACAGTTCAAGAATAGAGAGGTATTTATTTTATAAGTCGGGGGGGGGGAGGGAAGGAGGAACTTGTATAATCAAGAAGAAATCTCAAACAGACATGGCAAAAGGGCCAGATGACATCAGACAGGTATTTTTCTCAAGATGTCTGGTTTCATATCTTTAAACATTGGGGTTCTGACCAGATGCTTTCTAACAAGCCCAGTATAGAACCATGCTATAAAGTGTGGATGCACATCATAGAGTAGATTCATCTATAAAACCAGAGGGAGTATTTTACAAGATCAGAGTTTCTGCTACAACCTCATCAGGGAATGCCCCAAACTAGACCTGAAAATGCCATACACAAGGGCATATTGTCTGTGTCTAAAATAAAAATAAGTCTTATTGCCCAGCTGCATGGCTCAGGGGTTGAGAATCAACCTATGAACCAGGAGGTCATGGTTCAATTCCTGGTCAGAGCACGTGCCCAGGTTGTAGGCTCAATCTCCAGTTAGGAAGCAGCCAATCAATGATTCTCTTTCACCATTGATGATTCCCTCTCTCTCTCTCTCTCTCTCTCTCTCTCTCTCTCTCTCTCTCTCTCTCTCCTTTCCTCTCTGAAATCAATAGAAATATATTTTATAAATAAATAAATAAATAAATAAATAAATAAATAAATAAATCTTGTTGTCTTCATTCTACCATAGCACTGGGGTTCACTTGTTATCAATGGTAGGGGAAAAGACCTCAAAATCTTAAGTTTTGCTTCTCACTGACTGAATCATTGCCTCCTAACAAGTAATAAAGTGAGAAAAACCACTGAATGGGTTATAAACAAGAAAAATTTCACCCAAACATAACCTAGTGATTCAGTTTTCAAATGCATGAACACATGCGCATACACTCCCCCCACATACACACTGCTTTATATGTTTTCTATCATTATCTTTATAAGCAAAATGACCTTTTAAATACCCAGTAACCCCACTGTTGTTTTCAACATATGGGTTAACTGAGTAGAATTTCCACTGTAAAATATAAAGGTTGATTCTCTTCTAAGAAGGTGTAATGTTCTCATTCAACAATTTTATTTAACTATATACAAATACTTACAACAAGTATAAATTAAGTATTTGGATTTTTGCATAATTTTTCCAATTAAATTATTACATCCTTACTTCATATTTGAGATTTGTACTATAATCAAAAAGAGTCATTTCTGTATAACACTCATGGGCTTCATCAGTTTTCCCCGGGGCCTTTCCTCAGACCTGTAATATAGCCACATAATTCTTTGATATGTCTATTGTGCTGTAACATTCCATTGATATGGTCCAGAGGTCACCACCAGAATCTCTTTATGTTTTGCAAGTGCTGAGAAAAGAATTGCTGAGGCTAGTGCTGCTTTCCCTCTGGGAGGTTCTGTTATGTCTGGATTTTCAACTACCCTTCAGTAATGATGTCCCCCTACCCCTCCCCACCATTACCTTCTGACAATAGGCTCATGAATTCCAAGCTTTTTAAGTAGCTTTCTGCTTTTTAAGTACGAATTGTCTTAAATAATCTCTGAAATATAGTATTGGATCCCAAAGAGGACTGGTACAGAATCATCATTCTCTTTTGTTTATTTTTGCATGTGTATTTTTTTTAAATTTGTAATTATTTATTTATTTTTTGACAGAATCCCGTTCTGAAGAGACAACTTATTTCTTCTTCTATCAGAAGATATTTCTCTCTCTCACTCTACCTTCCTCTGTCAGAAAACTCTGTTCTTAACTCAGCCCATAATCCTCAGGCATGTAGCCAATCTGTCAGGTAAGTAGTGAGGTCTAGGCATGTTGGACATATTCAGTGCAATATCCAGGACGTATTAATCTATGTCTTAGCTGATGTCTGAAATGTTTCTTTTGTTGTCTGAAGAACATTCCTCAAACCAAGGAATTCCCAAACCCTTTTGGTTTCTCCCTTTGGATTCTAAGTGGATGTTTCTTATATTTTTGATTTAGGAATATCCAAGAATGATTATTGAGGCATAGTTTAAAAAATGCTACAGGCTGTTATCCTAAATGAAAGCTTCTTCTATTCCAAATATGATAGGCATCTCTCCAAGAAACAGATGAAAAGTACACTTCCTACTTTTTTGTCCTTTCTTCATTGTCTAATAGTGAGACTTGTGAGTGTTCTAGAAAACCTGAGATATTTGCATATAAGTACAATTAATAGCAAATATATGCCCCCAAGTTACCCTGGCTTAAAAACAGAGAAAGAACAGCTATAGTTTTCAAATATAGACCATTTGAGCTATTAACTCTCCTCCAAAGAGTAAAAGGGATGCTTTTCTATAATGCAGTGAGGAACAGAATGTGAAGAAGAAACTGCATTCATAAAAGATCTTCAGAGAAAATATAATTCCAAAGATCATGGCACCAGTCAAGCTTTCTTTCAAGGTGCCACTAGTAAGCACCAACAGAATACACTCTTCATTATACATTTTCATAAACACATACAAGTCACCCAACTGGAACCACTAGGAATCTTTGACTCAAAAACCTTATCTCAAGATATTTTTTAAGTTTCACTTTTTAAGAATATTGTCTTTTGGGGCAACCTGGCAAGTTAGCCTTTTTCTTCCAATTTCTAAGACTTGTGTGCAGATTTGACAGCTCTTCATTCTCTGGGGATTTAAAAAATTTTACTCTGTGGAAATAGAAGATGTGGCCGTGTCTAAAAATAGTCTTCCCTATTCTTTGGAATCACTTCACTGGCTCACCTAACCCAGAACTGCTGACCGCCATCCTTCTTACTTGTGCTTGTAGAAAGCTGGGTGTCCTCTTCCTCATGATGTTCATGGTGAATGAGAGGAGACTGGTCTTCCGGGGCCCAGTTTTCTCCATAATCACTGGTGCCACTTCTGTCCACATCTGTTGTGATGACGTTTATATACACTGTAATTTTTTTTATCAACTAAGCTTTGATGGTTTGTTCTTCCATTACAGTACATGATATTGAACAGCCTGAGCATCTACTATCCACACTTCTGAGTGACTTCACTAATCTCTTGCAAGGAAAAAAAAAAACCATTGGGCACGGAATTTCTTAATGACGACTTGTTATTCCGCCATAACCACTTTCTCAAGGGCAGCACCATCAACCATTTTAATGTATTCATTCTTATAATGGAGCAACATAAAATATCTTGTGCCCAGATGGTATGATTGATAAATGACCCCTAAGTTGAACTGAGGATCATCATGAAAATTCTCTAAAAATTTGTGATGAGATATTAACTACATTTCCCACTGTGTCCTGTCAATTGACCTTTGCAGCATCATAGACTTTGAGGGGGGAAATATCTTTAATTAAGAATGCATATCCCATTACCAGTCATCCTTGTGGTAGTCTGAAGTGATACTTCTGGATTTAAAAAGCCTGGGCTCCACTGGCTCCAATTCCGGTTCTGTGTTGAGTGGTCAAAAACCCGTGGTGTGGTTGAAACTGTGGTAACGATGATGAAGTTATTAGGAAAATGGTTATTTCTTGAGCCTTCACCACCTGTTTTGCACTTTTCCCCCTTCTTTGGTCTGTCCAGTGAATCATCTATACCAGTTTGTATAGATGGTTGAGTGGAAATGGAAGGAAAGCATAGAATGCTTTCAGCTTGGTCCAGACATATTGTTAAGCATCTCAGTGTCCTTTGCATTCTGCCTTTGGGGCGAGAACATGAGATCTTCTGGAGAAAGCAGCCAAAGAAGCTGCAGCAGGAAGAAGAAAGCTTTGGAAACACCAGCCCTCCACCGAGGATAACCAAAGACGGCAGAGTGTTGCCAATCCATGCAGTTGGTAATGTCCTTTGCATTTGAAAGCCCAAGGAACTTGTATCACTGGCAAGTGCACTACATGTAGATCCTCAGGATGAAGAGGTAGGTACCTGGAAGTTATTCCATGATGATCACTTTATCTCATTTGTAGTTTTGGTGGGAAAAGAAATACTCTGGGCATCCAGAACTTTCCTATAGACAATTCTAAGAAAGATTATCTACCTAAAACAGCCATATGATTTAGCTATACACTTCTGAATATTTATCAAACACCTATGATATACTCATCAAATACAAAGCACTTAACCAGCAAGCCATTCACAGCCATTGGGGGGGAAGGGGCAAGATGGGGGAGCAGAGAACAAGATGAATAGATCCAGTAGGAAAACAGCATAGGGAACCAACCACCAGCATCACAGCCAGGGGGCAGGAGGAAAAAAGAATCATATATCCACCAGTGCTCTGATACTGTCACCCAAAATGATAGAGCCAGAATAGGAGACACACCCAACAGAAGTATTATGACAGAAGTATTATGAATCAGAACCAATGTCTTATGTCAAAAGGTATATTGGCAAATCCTAATTCTTTCAAACTTTATATCGATACCCAAATAATACAAAACTCTTTTCAGAACTATACTACTATCATCTCTATTTCACAAGTTAAAAAAAATCAAGTTTGGAATCACTGACCATATTCTCAATAAGTATGAAAAAAGTGGCAGTTTTCACATCCTTCAGAAGAGAGAGGCATCCTGTTGAATTATATGCACAGGTGCCAAGCAGAAAAGTTAAATGAAACCAGAAAATATACCACAAAGATGAAAAATATCAAGGGAAGTTTTCCTCTGTACTGTGATCACAAAATTTATTTTTAGGTTGATCTGTTTGGATTGCCACCCAAAAGTGTTTAGTTTCTCATTTCTAGACCATCTTTTTGTTGGTGGCCCCATCTTTCAGGCCCCATCCTAACAACTCAGGATTCTGGGTATTAATAAAGTTCCAGTGATTTTGGTTATTTAGCTTTCTTCCTGAAGTTACTAGAAAGAGTTTCCTAGACTAACCTCTGCAGAGGTGTCCAGGCTAAGGAGTATACCATAATGCATCTAGTTTATCTCAAGTTTTTGTTCTATCAATGCAATATTTTTAGATGCTTTCAAGGCCTAAACTATTTTTTTTGGCTCTCTCCCCTCCTGAATGCTGTCCTTTTGGGGATGATACTCTCAGATTAGAATGGACAGAACCCAAAACAGCTCATGTGGCATCCTAAATGGAACCTTCCCTAAGGAAAAACAGAGCTGTTATGAAATCAGGTCTAGGATTCTCATGTCTGTTCAGCAATATCCTAGATCATTACAGGTATGAATAGGAAACTCATTCATCTGACAGAATATTAGACCAATCATTATATTTTTAAAGGACACTTTTTTCAGCTCAATTTCCACCTATTTTCTCAAAAAGTTTTATAATTGTCACAAATTTTAATACTATTATGCAGTGGTTTCACTATTTATTCTTAATAATTGGCACTGTTTTGTTCAAGCTCAGCTGACATTTGTCCTTTGCTTCAATGTCTTTCTGTTATATTGATGCCCAGTTTGTTTGTTAAAACTTTGGATTTATTTCCTTGATCTCAATCAGCTTTTGATTATCTAAGACCATTCTTGAGTTCTAATTACCATTGTTTAAGCCTTTTTAGGTCTTTCTAAGTCTTTAATTTAGGATCATCTACAACTTTGAATTAATATCCTTCCAATCATTGCTTCAATAGACCATGAGTCCCTTAAAGGCAAGAGCTCTGTCTTTTTTTCATATTTGTGTTACCAGCACCTAAGCACAGTGACCACTCAATGAGTATTTATTGTAATATTTTACTGTGCCATTTTCTGACAAAGTTCAATGGTTCAAAAAAAAAATCTGTAGCAACAGACCACATAAATAAAACAGGAAGAAAATGAGGCACTAGGAATTTCATAAAAGATGCTTTTCCCATTTCTCCTCCAAATACAGTTTGGCTTCTATTAAAAATATATATATTTCTTCCTTTAACATCTCATCAAGGTATGACTAAGGTGTGGTCATAGGCTTATGCTCATTGTTTATATCAACTGTTTCCCAAAAGAGATACTCTTGGGTGTCACTCAGATTAATTGGTAAGCCTTGCATAAATGGTTCTACTGTAATTGATTATTCTTACTGGTGCTGGAGATAAAATCTTCATCATCATCAATGCCTGTTCCAGAATGAATGGGGTGTTTGTCTCTTTCATCTTCATTTTCTTCCGTTGGCGCCCAGCCTGCTGAGATGATATTTGAATCCGTACCTGTTGTGGTGACTTGCATTAGTAGCTGAGCTGGATGCCAAGTAACCCATTCGATAAAGGAAGAAAATCAGGCACAGAGTGTAAGATGGAATTGCCAAGATTATAATAAGAAAGTGAAACATTTGGCGCGTATACCTCAAAATTAACATATCTTGGTCTCTGAAGCTAAACTATGGATCTAAAAACAATTTCCTATTATCTTTACAACTGAACATTCTCTTTTAAAAAGTTAAAGAATAAATATAGACATAACCCAACCAAAGAAGTAAAAGAAATGAAAGGCAAATAAACATTGCCTCATGCTTTTAGATACACTTAATAACTTATTAAGCACATGTCATTAATATCCTTCCAATCACATTCTCAAGTCCATTGCTTCAATAGACCATGAGTTCCTTGAAGGCAAGAGTTCTGACTTTTTTTTCCCATACGCTCAGAATAAGATGGTAATATTTCACGTATGTGTGCCTATTTGCTTTGTCAAGCTACTTAAAAAAAAACCCTTAGATTCTAAATACATCAGTCATTTCTAAAATTTCATAGTTATATTCACAATTTGCTAATTCATTTTTTATCTTCTCTAGCATCATATCAGTGTGCTGTAAAGACAAATGAAAGCTACACTGCAGTTCCCAGCAATGCTTTAGCATGCAAGGGGCAAAAGTCAGTTAATTAACAGAGGAAGTCATAGCTAGCATTTGTTCATCAACCCTTCTGATTGCCGAAAGTGGCAGACCGTAGCCAGGATTTGGAGAAATCTCCCTCTTCTCCTTGTGGAAGCAATCACAAGAAAGACGGAAACCCTGCACCTCTTCTCCATGGTTACTGCAGAAGATGTCTCTTTACACAAGGGTTTCCTACATTTTGAATCAGATTCACGCTATCTTTTGGAATGAACATTTGTCTTTTCATCTGTATCTACCCCAAGAATAGTTCCATTGATCAAAATTTGCTGTATTTTGTTAGCTCTAGCTAACAAATAACTTTTCAGGCTATTGTATTTTTCTCCTGAAAAGTAAAAAAAAATGTCAAATGACTTGAACCATTGTAGAATACCTTCATAGTCAAAATTTTGTCTGACATGAAGAAGTACCTGGCTCCTTTTCACATTTCCCCTTATTAGCCTCCTCCTGGGTTATCTTAATTCTATAGAATGAAAAGAAGAAATGTGCTTTATATAGAACTCTGAGGTCTATATAAAATCAACTATCTAAACCTCAGAGTTCATGGTCCTTCTAACATCATTAAAAACATTTGTAAAACCAGAATAGACTGTAGACTTTGACAGTATCCCCAAGGTCAATGAAGATTATTGAAGACTGTCAAGAAAACATATGAAATGAGATAATAATAACGTACTACCAGCCATTACTGTTGTTGTGTGAATATGTTTCTTGGACTCTGATGGTTGAAACAACCATGAAAACCAATTCTCAGCTTCTCGCCTCTTAAAAGCACAGAAGTTCCATTTCTTTCAGAGGCCCAAACTGGAGTTCATAGGATGCCAGAGATGGAAGTACCCTAATATCATCTGATTCATACTGCTCATCTTAAAATATGAAAAAAACTGTGCTGTACAGATCTTGACTTGTGTGAAGTCAGAAAACTAAACAACAGAGAGGTCTCAAGAGGAGCATGAAAGCTGTCTTTGAATTTTGAAAAGCAATAATGTAAAAGAGGAATTAAAATTTTTGTCTGTGCTCCAAAAAGGCTCAATTGGGACCTTTCTGGAGATGACTATTCTTCCAAATGTTGAATTTAATATTAATCATCTAAACTACCCAACAATGAGCTTCTTCATGAAGAAAGATATGCCTCACCATCAGAAAGATCACTTAGGAGGAAAGTTGTATAAGAGATTAAATGATTAGAATTTTTTATGGAATTAGACCATTTAAAATCTCCAAATCTGAGCATCTATGATTCTAAAACCTAGTTCTTTAGATTCTTAGCCCTTCATCTTCTGCACATTCTATCTTGGCCAACCAATATCATTCTCCAAGAATTAGGGATATGCTATTTCTGTGAGCAGTTCCAGACACATAATCCCAAATACACAGAGGGATGACACAAGAAGTGAAAAATGGGGGGGAAATGCCTTTCTGTTTTTCTCCATTTAGAGTCCAAATCCTCTAGCAATCTTGCCCATGGTCATGTTTTATATTAACACTATATTTTGCGTAACAGCAGGGCATTTTGAGTTCCAGTTTTGGAAAGAGGAAAATCAATCAGGAAAGACAGAAATGAAATAACCCAGTGATCTCACTAATAAGACCAGAAGTAAGAGTCATGACTTGAAAACTATTAAAGACTGCCATTTCTGTAACCATGGCATGCATCAGAAGAACATTAGCTAATAGAGGACAAATGGAAAAAGTTCAAGCAGAGAGACTGCAACCATCATTAAATTCCCAAATATAAAATTAAGCTGAATTAGATTTCATTTTGTAGCTATCAAAAGAAAGTTCAGAAATGCCTCAAGGTGAAACATTGACAAGTCTGTCTCCTTCACAATGTTTATCCTATGAAGATGAACATTTCAAACATTTAAAAATAGCATATTCTTTATTCTGCAATATCTATCTTCCTCCTCCCTGCTCCCTCTCTCAAGCATTATCTTAATCACTATGATATGCAGTCATAACATTGGCACTATATTTCTTCCTTGAGCATTTGTCAAAATAACAAATACAGTTTATTCAATGTCTTAACAGCTAAGCAAAATATAAAGGACCATTTTGATTGTTCTCCTTCTGGAGAAAGAATACCTAATTATTTTGAAAAATGACCAAATCCTCCATCAACGAAAGTTAATAAATGAAGACATGCTTACAATCTCCCATTACTATAGTCTTTGAATCTTTTCCCACAAAAGCTTTCAGGTCAAAATACTTTGCAGGAGCTTAGGGTTAACAGTCAAAGATCCAAGGAGCTTGTTAGAGGCCTCGATTCTGATGTAAAGCAGCAGGTCACTTCCTACACTTTGCAGTTGAGGTTTTAGATGTCCACACAATTGTCCCAGGCCTACACGTTCCATCTGAAGATCAAGATTTTCCTCCATTATTATTGACTGTGATAATTAGCAGAAAGGAGGAGTACTCATTTTCTGATACATTTTTTCTAGAGTAGTTGCTCTGAAGGATTCTAAGGGAAGCCCCTAAAGAAACAATAATTCTGATTATTTGGCATGTTGCTGAGGAGTATCCAGTAGTATCCCAGACTCATAAATGAGAAGGTACCAGACCCTGCTCTCACTAACAATCACGACGGAGCATCAGTAGAAAATGATAACGGATGTCCTTTTCCTCAACACTTATCTCACTTGACATTCAGGACAACAGAGAAGCAGAAGACATAACACTTTACCAGTTGTTGCTGTTGTTTGATCCTGAGTCTTAGGCTGTGGATTATCAAACCAAGACCATATCCAAGGAATGTGTTCCTGAGCTGCTGCATGGCTGTTTGAGTGCTCAGTGGAAGTAACTGAATCAATTGTGAAAACATCGTTTAGTGAGGACTTTCTACAAATTCGTTACTCTCAGTTCTATCTATACATAATGTCTGTGTCTATTATAGAATAAAGATTAGAAAAGAAGGATTGAGGCCTTTTTTTACATTTCCACTCTCCTAAAGTCTCCTGGAAGCTTAGGATAAGATCAGAAATGCAAATCTTTTATGGGTGTCAATTCAGGGCTACTCATTCTTCAAATGGAATCCCCTGAATACAGACTCAAGGAGAAATCAAGTAGCAACTAAATCACCTATAATGGAAAGAAATTTTATATTTACTTGAATGGATGACTCAGCTATACACTGAAGGTCTTCAGCATAGACTTTCATGAAGTTGCTTTTATTCGTCTATTTTTGAAGTGTCTTAAGAGATGCACCTGTATCTTTTGCGTCTGCCATTTTACCCAGGTAGCTCGTGATGACAACTGGCATTTGAAAGCTCCACTGTCACTCACTAACCTCAAGTCAAGCCTTATACTTTATATAAGTCAAGCAGGAACTTTGCAAAGGGTATGTGTTCAAGGTGGTGAAATCAGATCTCAAGCATTCCTCCATCACTTTCTGTCACTTTTAATTCTAATTCAGAATGTATTTCCAGAAAGGAAAAACAAACTTTCTCAAGTTAAAAAAAATTTCTTTGGACTCTGTTCAAATTAGAGAAAGGATGGTTGGTAATATTTTACAGGTTGAAATATCTCATTTGACTCTCAAGTTAGACTGAATCCAAAATGTTTCTCAGTAGACGAAGAATGTCAAATATCACCAGAATATACATCTAAAACACTTGTGAAAGTCTGATAAAAGTTATGACTTCTTTTTTCCTTAAAAAAGTGATCCTACACATACACATTCTAAAATGTTTGCATATTATTTCAGATGATCTTGTATACAATATGGCTGTCATTCAATCTACTGGAAATCAATGAATTTCAGGTTAAAAACTTTAACTCTCTACAAGCCAAATAATGTCAACCACCTGCACAATACCTTCTATGCTATCAAGGACACATTTGCTCAGAATAAAGAGTAGAGAGATAGGAGCCAATTTCACCAATGATGCCCTGAGATAAACATGAGCAATTTTCCCCCACCCAAGCAAGCCATGCCAGACCAAAAAGAAAATAAATAAGTAAATAAAGACAGACACACACACACACACACACACACACACACACACACATTCTTAGACACCCAGAAGACAAGAAATAGACTGTTCCTAGGTAGTTTCCTGAATGTTTCCTGAATGAGTACAGTTTCTGGATTCCAAAGAATTCCAGATCACAGATAGGAAGGGAGCTGATGATATGCCTCCAGGAGGGCTCTTCCAAAAATAACACTTATAGTAAAAAGTCTGCTAGCAATCAAAACCTACCCAGATGGCTTTTTTATTGGCTTTCCCTACTGCCCACCCACTAAGGACGCTTAAGGAAGGGATGAGCCAGCCAAGCCCAAGAGCGATTCTAGGTACTCAGCCAACCCTCCTCTTGACCTCTGTCCTCCTGCATGAACTGGGGAGGATTCGCAATCACTCCCTCTCACTAAGTTCCAACTCTCAATCCAACAGTCATGATGTTTTGAGAATCTTTGTGCTTAGAACATGTGGCGTACTTAGGAACCCACCGGTGCTAACTTTTCTAGCTTGTTATATGCTCCTTTCAAGTTTCTCCCTGACTGTTTTCTGTGACACTCTTCTCTGCATGCATTGGTTTATTTGGAGTTGCCATCGGTGCACTTGGGTCCTATAGCACTTCAGTCACCCTGGGGTTAGCCCTGGACTCACTCTGATGGACAAATGAGTCTCTATCTTCCTTAACTACTAAAAGCAACTTAGCTAAGTGCTCTGGAAAGAGGGAAGCACAATTCTCTTCTCAACCCAAATCCTGCGTTGTGTTTCAGCAAAACCTCCTAGCACACTCCTTCCTTGCTTTCTGAACAGTGTAAGGCTCCATGAAAGTAGGTCCAACTCCAACTCCTCAGTAATGAGGGCAGCATCGGGCACAGAGACCTCAAATATTGGTTGAATGAATAGCTAGCTTACTAACTCTTACTTCTCTTCTATATCACTGTCTAAGGGTATTGTCTACTGGGTCCTAAGCATTTGAATAAGCCCAATACATAATAAGTATTCAATAATTGTTTGCTGACTAACAGGCAGAAAAAGTGCAGCCCTTAAAAGATGTGCTATGAATGTTTCTTAAATGTGCTGATTGGCTTTCTTAAAGCACAGGTTAAACAATCCCTGTGTTAGATAGGCTAGTGGCCGCTGCGATGTTAACTACATCTAGTTCTCACAAGATATAGTTTGTCAGGATTTTCTTCTTTGGGAAATGGAGGTTTAGGGTAATCAGGACCTGCCTCCTGCTGAGACCAGTAATTGCTATCTGCCAGCATCTGACCAGATAAGTGTGTGATGATAAGCACCTTCAGCAGGGCAACCTTAAGCAGGGAAATCAAGGGACAGCAAGTAGCCAGCAGCACGGCCAACTTGGTCTGCAGAAATTTCTCTCAAGAAAGGCTGTTTGTGGGACTAGAAACAAGGAGTGACAAACTGCTGGCTCCAGAGAGCCGATATTCTGGGAAAGCATGGGCAATCTGCAAGTGCCTGCTTTATGACATGCTTCAAAGTATCTGCAGAAGATGACAAAAACCCCAAACCTACATGCACCCCTCACTCAGCAAACTGCTGATAGAAATTTAATCCATGGCTGAGCAAGCAATCTTACATTGATTCTCGGGGCTTTGGAGGTTTTCCTGGCTTCTGGGTGACATGGGATGGAAAGGGTCGCCGCCTGGAGCATTCACAACCCAGTAAATCTCTGCCTCATTCTTTGGAGAGCAGAGTTCCAACGCTCACGAGCCACAGCCAGGAAAAGAGCAAATCCACACCATACTAGGAAAGCTACTCAAGAGGCAGACGCCCTGCCTGAGTTTGAATAATCTTCCATGGAAGGAACACAGCCAATCTGGAAATATGTTTTAAAATAACCCTTGGGTAGGGGGGAGCAAAGAGGAAAGTGAAGAAAGAGACAAGAGGATATGAGAACGCTTCCCAATGCAAGCGGAGCACAAGGGGCCCAAACCCAGAGACCTTGAAGGCACTGCTTCCTTATCCCCACCCTTCCTGTCCCAAGGTAATGAATGACCCTCACAGACCAAGCCGGTGCTAAGAGCCTCACCCACAGCTAGCATATAAAACTCTTAAGCAGACTTCATGTGATCAGATAACTCCTCCAGCTATGTTTCCCTAGACCAAAATCCAAAGGAATTGTTCCAAAACGATGGGTGATAAAAAAGACTGAATATTGCATAGTCCATAACATGAGTATAAATCAGGTTAAGACAGAAAAAAAGATGAAGTTAAGAGACACAGAAACAGAATGGCTTGTATGCATCTGCTGAGGCCCCAGCTTAGGAAATCTCATCCAGAGGTGGGTAACAACCAGCGGCAAACATGCAAAACCGAGAACCATTTCTGCATCAGGCTTGAGGTCATCATATCCCTGGGATAAGAGAATAAGGAAAGTTCTAAAAAAACAAACAAAAAAACAAAACAAAAAAACACCTTTTAACATGGCACTTCGTATCCAAGGCAGAAAAACAGAATTGCAGGTGAAAAAGAGAAAATGTTGGCAGTAGCAGCCGATGCACACCGGGCACTGACTACCAGCACAGCCCACTTCCCCAAAGGCCGTCACCAGCTTCCAGAGGCGGGAGACACACGCATGTGAGTGCATATCACTCAGGAAGGACCGAGATGTTTTTGCAAATGAATCGCCAGTGGGAAGCCCAGTGATTCATTGTCCTTACTGGGGTCGGGGGTATCCTCCTCCGGGAAGTAGGACACTGGAGGATTATCTTGGTCTTCGGTGGGATAAGCAGTCGGAAAGTGGGTGTGGAAGATGTAGCTCTCTGAAGTGCTTCTTTCACTGGAGGATCCACTATTGTAGTCTTCCTCAGCTGTGGTATTGTTATTGATGTCATCAGGGTTAGTTCTGTATTCGCCCTTCTGGGTGTAGCGGGTACCATCCCGGTTTACGATAGCTGGGAGACAGAGAAGGCACTTTTAGAATGTGTCAACTGACACTTTCTGAATATAGGAAAGACTGAATTATCACAGAAGATGGTGACTGTAGAGCTACTTTTCTTTTTTATTAGGAAAATCAACACCTACACTACCTGTCTAGTGGGGGGGATGTGTGGCTGAAGCATTGAGAAGAGTGGACACTCCCCTGACCACTCACACACCAGGAAAATGGAGAGGGGAAAAGAGATTGTGTTTGGGAACCCCCTTGTTTGGATTCCAGTGATGTGTGGCTCCAGACAAGGTAGGTGCCTCTCTGAGCTTCAGTTTTTCATTCCATTATGAGCAGGAGGTAATATTGTGTGTAAAGTGCTTGCACGGTATTCAAAGTATAGTTGGTGCTCAATAAGTGGTAAATCTCCTGCCTGGTTCCCATTTCCCTTCTCAAGCACATGTTAACTTGGTGCTATTAGTTCCATCGATTTCCAGAGAGGAAAAGAGGGAAGAGACACAGAGGCTATTAGCATCATCTGGGAATATATAGTTGCAAATCCAAGAAGAATTACATTTTCTTTCTAACGGTAAAATTTTGTCAGTTTAAGTCAGTGGTCAGCAAACTCATTAGTCAACAGAGCCAAATATCAACAGTAAAACGATTGAAATTTCTTTTGAGAGCCGAAAACAGACTTCTGCGCATGAATTTGCACAGGTCTGGACTTCAGAAGACATTTGTGGGGACCAAGGAAGTGGGACATTGATTAAGCATCTCCTAAAGACCAAGCATACATTAGACATATGCTTTTTCTTAATTCTCAGGGGGCAAAAATCACATATGTTGTTTCATTATCCAGATGAGAAATGGAGGCTCAGAAAGAGTAAGTCACTCCTCTCAGTTCGCCCAGGTGGTAAGGTACTGGGATTCCACACCGGACATGGCTGGCACAGCGCATCTCACACAGCATATTACAAGGCACAGGCCAGGGACACGTCCCTCCAGAAGTGGGGGCTGGATTTGTATGGTCCAGGGAGATTCTTGCTCCCCTGCTACTGTCACCACTATTGCTAGGCACACTAAGAGGTCTGGCTCTTAGCAGGCACACATTAGACCTCCCCAACATGTCATAATTCTCAAGAAGTGAGGTTCAGAGGCAATAAGGTCAGAGTTAATAAGTCGACCTATTTGAAAGTTTTGTTTGAGACACTGGTTTCTACAGTGCCAAATGCCTACTTCTGGGGATCATTTCAGATAATGTTGAATCAGGAAGTTTATAACCTTTGTATAATAATTATCTTTCAACACTCCAGTTAAATCAAAGACAAAATCATGGGGGCTAGTACGTCCCTATCTTACCTCTTCATAATCCCCCTCTGTGAGAGAGAATGTAGCTTGGAGCCTTCAGCTGCTAGAATTTAAGAATATTATTTAATCTCTGCTACATTTAAATTTACTTTTAAGGGTACCTTCTAATGATGTCCAGGGATGCTGGCTTTTCTTTTGCATTGTTTGTTTGTTTGCTTATTTGTTTTAATAAATGCATTCTTCTAAGTAGAAAAGAATGGGTCAATTAAATAAATAAATAAATCAATAATAGTGCTGTGTACATAGAATTGCCAAAAAAAGTGAGTTTTTCAAATGACTGAAGCTTGAGAAACAGTGCATTGGGTAAACCAGATAACAGTTTCAAGCCATTGAAGAAAAAGAGGAAAGAACATGGAATCATAGCCAGTGGGCCTAGCCTTAGGGAAATGACTGCTATTCTAGTCAAATATAAAACACTGAAATATACTTGATCCCTTTCCCAAGAAGGTTAGAAGAGATACGTACTTATGGCTATTGATCCTTCAAAGGCATTGGTCAGGCTTGTGATTGACTCACAATCTTCTTTCTCTGGTGCTATGAGGTAGAAAAGAAAAAAGGCATGAGAATGCTAAAAAAATATGAGCAAATCAATTCCCATTTCTTTCAGTTAATTAGTATGGAATTTTATTATAACTTACTGCAAATGTTTTCCTTTTCTGACATTTGGTTAAGTCTCCTGGGAACTTCTCTGGCCTCTGTGATGCATTTTTCATTTTTATTTAGCTTTACATGTTTTTTGGAAGCTCACTCATTATTCTTCCCAACCCAACAAATTCATTCGTTAACAAATACATATGTTCTATTATCAGGCTTTGTGGGAGGCTGGGGGTACAGTGATGCACAAGATAGGCATGGTCTTTCCCTAATGAAGCACACATTAGAATGGTTTGTTGGCAAAGAGCAAGGAAGAAAGGGATGGATGGATGGATGGATGGATGGATGAATGCATGGATAGATGGATGCATGGATGGATGAATGGATGGATGGATGCATGGATGAATGGATGGATGGATGGAGGCAGGCAGGCAAATTGCTATCACAAGAAAGGCTATTATCACAAATATTTTAAGTGTCCTGCCATAAACCACCTGGTATCATAACATTAGACAAAAACATCAACAAAACAGGGTTTGGCTGCTTCCCAGTTCCTAGGAGATCTTTTCCCATATTTCTTTGGCCTCAAAGTGAAACTAAGTGGCAGCTTTACGTATTCAACTAGAGAAAAGCAAGTTTTAGGAAAAGCTCTTCTTGCAAAGGCTGATGCAAAGATTTCTCAGAAGAGACTCTTCAAAAAGAAAGTTGCCTCCTGGGGAAGGCCATTCCTCACCATCCAATGTAAGCTGGCCCCTCAACACTCCCCCATACCCATCACCATCACACATTGTCTGCCCTCATTTCTTCCTCAGGCTTACCACTACCTATAACTATCATGTTCTCTTTCCTCAATGACTGCTTACGGCACCTCTCCCAACCCCTACTAACTGCCAAACACCCACCTCCATAGAAATAGTTAAGCTCCGCAAGATGAGTAGGAACCTTATCTGTCTTGGCCAGGATATTTATGTGTGATAGGGGAGAGGGGATGTTCAAATATTTGTTGAGAAAGGAGAAAAAAAAAAAAAGTCCATTCTTCTAGTAAACACGCCTAATATGTAACCCCCCCACAAATAGTCCAAAAATATAAACAGATCAAAAAATATTTAGATAAACCCTGAAGGACAATGCCATGAGAAAGAATTAAAGGCAGCTAACTCCAGATATGTCAGTCCATGTATTCATTATTTTAGGCATTTACTCAACACATAATAATTTTTTAAAAAGCAAAAAAACTTTTTTTTTGTTCTTGCTTTTGAAGAATTCACAAGATCATGCGGGACAATAATAATTACCATTTGTCAGATTTTTATATTCAAAATATTCAAAATATTTCCCCAATAAATCCCTCATTTAAGAATCAGGGCAAATAGTCAATCTAGGTCAGTGGTCGGCAAACTGCGGCTGGCTAGCCACATGAGGTTTGGACCCTTGACTTCTTAGCAAAGGCCAGCTTAGGAGTACCCTAATTAAGTTAATAACAATGTACCTACCTATATAGTTTAAGTTTAAAAAATTTGGCTCTCAAGAGAAATTTCAATCATTGCACTGTTGATATTTGGCCTAGTTGACTAATGAGTTTGCCAACCACTGATCTAGGTGATGTTGGAGAGCAGCTACCCAGTCTGCCAGGGGGACACCACAAGACTGACCTGTGACGTGTTTCTGACATTATTACACTATACAGACCCATTGGATTATGACTTCTTAATGGCAAGAATGGAAATGCACTCCCCATCCCCCCGATTCAAACATAACTGCAGGTGACACTGGGAATTTCTAGGCATTACATTGTAATAGAAGGGTAGATGATGTCAAAAACTCTAAGAGCGTTTTGTAAATGATTAGAGCATTTGTCCAAATAGACCCCCTTCATGCTCCAATTCACCTTCACTCTTATAAAGAACTTCAAATCTGGCAGAATGGTGACCCAAATGTGCAGTCAGTCTGTTCATGCTCCCATGTCACACAGCAGGGCCTCATTAGAAGGCCTTTCATTCTGTTTAATGAGCATTGCGTTGCTGGAAGAATCAGGGCTGGTGCGGTCTTCCTGAACCTAAAGCTTTGTTAGGAAGACTCTGAGGTGAGCTTTCTGATGGGCTGCATCTCAAAACCTGGCCTCTCCTGCACCAAAAAGAACCCCAAGGAAATGTTAACTATTCAGTCTAGCCCAGTGGTTGACAAACTCATTAGTCAACAGAGCCAAATATCAACAGTACAATGACTGAAATTTCTTTTGAGAGCCGAAACCTAACTTCTATGCATGGGCCACGAAGTTTCAATCGCACTGTATGTGAGCACCTACAAGTGGTTATTTTGTGGAAGAGCCACACTCAAGGGGCCAAAGAGCCGCATGTGGCTCTCGATCCACAGTTTGCCAATCACTGGTCTAGCCCGTCACTCGGCCCCAGACTGAAAACTACCTTCCTCAATGCCTGATACATTATATGGAGTCAATAAATACTTATTCAATAAAAGAGTAAAGGAATAAACAAGTAAATATAGAATCTTCCCTAAATTTCTCCTGCAAAAGTGAGGCTTTTTACTCAAAGCCAATTTTATTTTTTTTAATATATTTTATTGATTTTTTTTTTACAGAGAGGAAGAGAGAGGGATAGAGAGTTAGAAACATCAATGAGAGAGAATCATGGATCAGCTGCCTCTTGCACACCCCCTACTGGGAATGTGCCCGTAACCAACCTACATGCCCCTGACCGGAATCGAACCTGGGACCTTTCAGTCCCCAGGTTGACGCTCTATCCACTGAGCCAAACCGGTTTCGGCTCAAAGCCAATTTTAAAAATGAACTCATTCAAGTGAGTTCTCTATGTTGTTTATACAGAAGCCACCAGGCTCATGCTGGGTCTTATCGCTGACAGATGAGGCAATAAAAATCGCCAAGCCTTTGCAGGGTCTGCCTTATTTTCATTTGTAAACCACAGGATGTGTTTTACAAAAACACTGCTGAAGTTGTAAGCATGCAGAAGCTATCTGCTAAAACTGAGCTGGCTTCCAGTTTGCCTGCTGGGGGAGCGGCGTTGATCGCATCACTGGGTCCTGCTGGTAGTTCTCAGGCTGAGTTGGATGCAACGATCTTTCCAGGGAGATCCGTCACATAGTGCAGAGGTTATCAAGATCTGTAGCTTACTTAATACTCCCATCAGCTGACTAAGACAGTTTAATGAAAGGAGTTTATCTCTAGATAAACATTCTTCTCAAGCGCTTTCACTTTTTGTCTTGTTGCTTTAACAAAATTAATTCTCAAGATAAGAAATAGGGTCCTGGCTCTTTCTTATTCCACTCTGCTCAGCACAGTACTGAGCGCATATAGTCAATCAACCAACAGACTTAAAAACTTCAAGGAAAACTTATAAAAGCAGCCTACCCATATCAAGTAAATTAGGAAAAGAGAAAAAGATAAATGTCACTCTGAATTTCACTTTAATACAGCCACTTTGGTATGCAATACACTCCCAGGACTTTCCAACTTTTCAACTAACGTAACCCTACCCTCTACCCCCTCCAAAGAGGAGGGAAGTGAATAGTACTCTTCACTCACTTCTCTTAGGACAGGCCCGATCTGGGGCAAAAATAAAGCCATGCAGATTTTATATTCTACTACCATATATACAATGTGTCCATCTCATAAAAATAACGCCTTAGGTCACCATATAACAATATCTGTGTTTGTTTCATATGGAACACGTCTTCAGTCACTTTCCAGCTCATTGAAAGACAGGAAGTCTGCCCAGCAGAAGTGTCAAGTTTACCACCTGGTGCCTTTATCATCCCCTCCACACAACCTCAAACCTTTTTGGGGAGCAAGATATCTGATTGTTGGCATTCACAACATTGACATCTCAGGGTTTGACCCTCCTCAAAAGACCCAGAAGAGTCACGAAGCGAAGAATTCTTTAGTTTTGCTGGGGCCTGAATTCGACTCGCAAACCTGTGTTTTTAGGCCAGTAGTTGGAAGCAAGCCCCTTAGACAGGGAGGGGCCTGGCCAGCAGCCCAGCATGCAAATCTTAAGGTAGTTTTCTTATGCTCTAGTTGTCTAGTTGGGTAGGCAGGGACACTCGATAAGGTCAAAGGCATATGTCCTCCCAACCTCTCTCCTTCCCTAACATCTGATCAATACGTCTGAGCTAAGCCAGTTGCTTTGTGCACCAGTGCCGTCCTTGAATTCATGTAGCCCCACCATCCCAAACCCTGCAAGTGACATCGCACCAAGAACAAAACCCAAACTCTCAGCCGTGGCCTACAGGCCTGAGGTGATCTGGCGCCTGCTTCCCTCTCTGACTTCATTGCTTGGCATTCTCTCCTCTGATCGTCTGGCCTCCCTGCTCTTCCTGGAACAGGCCCCGATGCTCCTGCACACTGCCAGGCTCTGCAGCGGCTACCTACTCTGCTCGTGGCTCTCCCCTGCATTTCACGCAGTGTTTCTCCTAGATGAGCCTCCTCAGAGGCTCTTCCCCTGACTGCCTTCTCGGAAGAAAGCTCCCCTGGCATTCTGAGCCTCTTGCTCTGCCTTCCTTTTTACAGCTCTCAACTCTTCTCTCTCTCTCTGGCTTCACATAAGGTGTTTCATATTTACTAGCTTACTGTGGGCTCCCCAGCTTAGCAGGCAAGCACTCTGTAGACAGGAATTTTCTTTCTGCTGTAGATGTTCCCTGAACATCTGGAAGCTCCGTGAATCCCCACATGAGCCCAGATTGAACCGCTCTTGGCCATGCTGCCACGGGCTTGCCTGCCAAATGCGACCCCACACACGAAGACAATCCGCTTGGAACCCACCTGAAGCATTGTAGCAGTACGTGTCGTACTGGGAGGTGTTGAAGGTGAGGATGTACACTCCCGTGTTGTTTGCGGCACAGATGGCGTTGGGTTGGATGCGGGGGATCACCACGTGCCCTTCTATGAACCCGTACCTGCAAGAGCAACAGCAGCGGTTATCCACCTGCGAGGCCATGATGGTATTTCACCCCACCCCATCCAATGACATATCACACAGTGCAACGCTTCATTCAACTCATCCCAAAGGGACGTTCAAGGTTTCAGCCAGGGAGTTATGTGAAATCCAAAAATAACAGCAGAGGTAGAGGGATCAAGGCTGATAGAGACAAAGTGATTTCATTTAGGGCTCTATAAAAGCTTTTTTTTTTTTTAAGAGATTCATGAAGAAAATAGTTTCTAATAAAAGTTGTGGTAAGATCAGTTTGGACAAGCAGAAGGAAGTCCAAGACACAGGAGATAAAAGAAAGACCACTCATGATGTGAGATCCACTATGGCTCCCTCCATGACTTTCATACTCTTTCAGGAAATGCATACAATGACCAACTCCCTCAGTACAGAATTAGGTGGCTGATCATGTCAGCCCGCAAATGTCAAATCTGCCTCATCTCCCATCCCCACTCTTCTCTCCCTGCCTCGCCTTTTCCTGTGATCCCTTCCTCCAAACGCCGTTACTCTAAACACGAAGGCTTGTTCACATGCCAGATACATGCGCATTCTGCCTCACGAACATCCCAGGCAGAATTTCATCGCCAGCGGAAGTAAATTGACCGTCATTAAAACTGGAGTAACAGCGATTGAGCCGGTAGATATCAATGCCTCATTTAGCTCAGGAATTTCCTGAGAAGCATCGCAGCCAGAGAAGCACTTAAATGGCTCTGCCCCCACCCACGTATTTCTGGAAGCATGTGGGAGCTGGAGACTCCCTCAGATAAAACTCACAGCACCCAGACTCCTCCATCACCATCACAGTGTCTACTCACTGTACAGTTTCTCCGGAATATACTAGGTGGTGGCAGAGGAAAGGCAGAGAAGGAGAAGCTAATTTTTTTTTTTTTAATGCAAAGCTAAGGCACAACCTTGATCCTTTTAATCTCTCCTGCCAGTGGCAACAATAGTGCATGACCCTGCAAGATCCGTGGAAACGGCTGTGCGTTTGAAATTTCCAAGCACATAGAACTCATTAAGACTGTTGCAACTGCAGCTTGCATGACTAATTGCTCATCTAAACCAACAGACTGGTTTCTCCAAAGATTCCTTAGCTTGGTGGGGGGAGGGGTCGTAATTAAAGGTTAGTAAGTTCCCATATATCTGAGAATTGCTGCTAATCAGGGTGGGGCAGACAGCAAAGGTTTTCTCACAGCCTGGGACACTGCCATCGGAGCCGTGGCACATAGCTGATTCATGGCTACCTGAGTGAAATTATGGAAATGAGTTTTGCAATGCTTCATGTCAGCAATGGGTGGAACAATAGGTTTCTTTGGCATAGCGTTTCTCCTTTTCTTTTTTTAATGATAATACTCGGTGAGCCTACTCCCATCCCACCCTTACTGCATGCACCAAGTCTGTTTTACACTGACCATCTAGAATCTACATTCCCTTGTTGAGTTAAGAGTTTTTGCCCCGCTGTGTCGACGGCCGGTTTTGTGTGTCCCACTGGATATGTGGGGATGTTAACATTTATATGTGTGCCTACTGCATGAGTGGATCGCTGTTCGCAGGGAGAAAAGAAATACTCAGCAAATCCATGCATCATTCTTGGATCTCCCCTTTGCTCTCGGTCCTTCCTTGGGGTTTGGTCATTAAAATCTTGTCCAGAAGCAGGACCTGACTCCGGCTCCTCCCCATGCCAGTGATGTGACCCAGGCCGAGCTGGGGAACTTCTCTGAGATTTGATGCTTCATCCATAAGGAGGGTAATATAACCCTACTGTGGTGCCCTTTGAGAATTAAATGAGGGGTGGGCAAGTGCCCAGCATCTGTGCTGTGCGCATGCTGATTGAGAAGTTCAAACAGTAACAACTTCCCTCTTTTTCAGCCTAACGAGAACATTTCTGTATTTTGTAAGTAGGCATGGTCTGCATTTCACAATCAAAATTCAGCTCACTAAACCCCTGCTCTCAGTGGATTTCTCTTGCTGTCCTAGTCCCAGTTGTGGTGAAACAATTAGTCTTGGGAGTAGAATCAATGGATTCTTCATTGCAGACCACAGCACAGGGTGAGCAGCTAGCAGAGCTTCCTCCCTTTCTCTGCTCCTTGCATGTTCTCTCCAACATTATCTGAATGCATGCGGATGTCTCCTACAGCTGCTCTCTGCGTTAGAGCAGTGCTGCGCATTACCACTGTCTGTGATCATGGACACAGTCTGTGATCAGCACAGATCTGTGGCTACTGTGCCACTGAAGAATCCAGGTTTTCATTTTATTTCATTCTAATTAAATGGTTACCATTTAAGACATAAAGACTTTCCTTTTCAGCAAGAGCCTCCGCTCCTGCTCATACAGTGGGTATCTTCCTCTCTAACCAAGGACAGAGATTGATGTATTGAATGCTCCTAGTGGCATCCCATTGCAAAAGCACAGAGGGGGTAGCAGTGGCCTGAGATGGAAACCAAGCAGTTATTCAGATGACTAAGAGCGTTTCTAGTGAAAACCAGCCAAAGCATCCACTTCCCTTGTGGCCTTCCACCACAGCTTGCTCTTAAAGGGCACCACTGGCTGGAGGGTTTGAGGAAAGCTCCACAGAGCACGTGGTCACACAGAAGCCTCTTAGGAGGCCTTTCTGAGTCCCTCCCGTTCTTTCCCAGTGACTAGTAATTTGTCTTAATAATTTTTATGCCCCCTTTTTTCTGTAACCTTCTCAAACTAAAGCAACCTAGAAGAGAATAAAGAAATAGAGAGAGGATTGTTTGGAAAATCTGCTTTAAGCCAAGTCTGCAGGGCCTAGATTCCGCCAGGCACATGTTTCTTTTAATCACTGTTATTTGGTTTACGTTTTCTTGTGGTTCCGACAATAACATTGCACGTTTCTTCAAAGCCAGGAGAGCGCCATGTGGAAGCACTGCAGGCATTAGGAGTCCAGCTGTTGACACTTCATGGCCTCCTCCGGGCAGCCCCGCTATCATTTACAAAGGTGTCTTTAGAGGGCTTCAAATGTCTGCTGTCAGGCAAGTTCTAAGTTAACTTGGCCAAATGAATAGGTGAGGCCTACAGGCAATCATCCAATCAGATACCAGGAGGAACCTTCACGGTGCTAAGCCCCACCCCCTAGGCCAAGGCAGCCAGTGGCTCTCACCTGCAGGTCTCAAACCCCACGCTCAGGGCTTTCTCCATCTGGGCCATGGTGGGCAGGGTGGAATTGAAAGCCTTGCAGAGGTCAGCTGCCTCAGTCCGTGAGATGCTGTAGCGACCGTTTTTCTCCACATGGAATACGCCTGCGTATCGGCAGGTTACGTTCAAATCTGTGGGATGAAACAAGCAAGGTTAATATTTGTTTGCATGCATAATCAGGGAGGGGTAAGAAGGTTGTTTTTGAGCAGCCTCATTCAAAAGCCAAATAAACTTCTCTTCTGCTCCAACATTCCAAAGCACCATCACACTAAGCTCAGATCTGAGCTGACACACAGACAAGTCATATCACTCTGTGACTTTCTCTCCATCGATTGCTGCACAACAAACTCTTTTAAAAGCGTATGATTGGGAGCATAGCTAAACCACGTTGGTGTTGCTTGAAATCGAGTTTTGCTCAAACAAACTCTTAAAATGTTGAATAAGCCTCAATTTGTCTCTTAGCACTGTGACATTGCAAAATGGCACAGCCATTTTAGAAGGCCATTTGATGGTTTCTTACAAAACAAGCATTTTCTTACTATTTGACTCAGGGATCACACTCCTTGGTAGTTACCCAAAGAAATGGAGAACTTATGTCAACACAAAAACCTACACACAGCTGTTTATTCATGATGGCCAAACTCCGCAATCAACCAAGATATACCTCAATAGGCGAGTGAATAAGTAAAAAGAAAAAGCATATGACTTCTGTCTGATTATTAAAGCAATACAAACTTGTTGAAAACTTACAAAATTCTGGAAAGTAATAAAGGAAAAGCCGGTCCACCACCAAGAAGGCATTGCTAATGTTTTAAACATTTTGTTGCATCTTCTTTCAATTTGTCTTCTGAATATGTATATGTGTGTGTTTTAGTTAAAATAATACTAAATATACAATTTATATTTGGGAGTCTTTTCCCCTCACTTAATCTTTCATTACGAGCATTTTCTCACAATCACGTGATCTCGCTCCCCTGCTTAGAATCCCCAGTGACTTTCAGCTGCACCCAGATTAAATTTCCTTATCACGGCTGATAAGATAAAATCTACGTGTTCTCAATCCTATATCCCTCTCTAAACTTTAGGTAGCTCCCTCTGCTCTGGGTACAGAGCTTCCCTTCAGTTCCTTTGGGCATTCTGGGCTCTTTCCCACTTTCCAACAAGTATATCTGCCTTTCCCTCTGTTTGGAATGTTCTGTCCTCGGATTATCCCATTCTTGTTGGTCAACTCCACATCACCTCTCAGCGTCCTTCCCTGAACACTCTAATCCAACTCGTGGTGCCTCCCTTGCCTCACCTGGCTTGTGTTTATTTATTTGTGGGTTTATTACCCATTTGCCCTTTCTGTGATGGAAGCTCAAAAAATAAAAAAAGGAAAGGCCTTCCACCGGTTTATAGTGTTGTTCTAATGCCCACAACAGCACCTGACAGAGAGGGGAATATTGTTGAATGAATGAACAACTCATTGAAACGTCTTCAAAAGCACCCTTCTGACATCTTGCAGCTAGGTCCAAGGCCTGGTGTTTGCTCCCAAGAGGTAATGACATTCCATAGGAAACCTAACAGCTATCCACTGATGAAAGTGATTTGAGTCAAGGACTTCGGGAGTTTTGCAGATATTAATCTGAAATCTCAATAAGGAGCTGAACAACCCTCTGGTTCCATAAGATCCTCTGTAACAATCTCAAAAGATTGAAAAGGCCTTCACTGAAAACTCATTCTTTTTCTAGGACTGTTATCCCGGTTTGCACTTGAGTAAGCTCCAACACTGAAAGGTTGTTATTGACACTATCCTGGGGAAGCCTAATTCCTCCTGAGCACTTCCTTCAGCCTCCAAGACAGGATTCTTGGACTCTGGCCGACAGCTCCTTGGGGACCTTCCCCATGGTGGAGCTGGTGCCAGGCCAGGCATCACTGAGTTATTTCTGAGCCAGGTCTGGATTCCAACAGATCTGGCCTTAACTCAAACTCAATCTCTCTCTCTCTCTCTCATGTGTGCTGGTCCGCAGATCATCAGGAAGATTCTGCATATTAATCAGCAAGTACACTGAGACTCAGAGAACTGACTTGCCCAAGGAAGTGAGGATGTCTGTCTAAAGCCTGTAGTCAATTTCCAGAATCTCAGGTGCTTCCTTCTATATTCTGAGCCAATAACCCGAGTAGAGGAAGCCCACTACTGCACTGTCCCTGGGTACCCGGAACATCTAGGGTTCTGGGTTGCATCAGCTTCCGAGAATCCTGGGGGGGAGGGGGGGGTGAGTTTAATGTAAACATGTACCTAGTACTAATAGGTGGAGAAACTAAAGCTCAGAAAAAGGAAACTACTTTCCCAGCTAGTAAGTGGCAGAGCTGGAATTTCATCTTAGGTCTGTGTAGATATCATACCCATGTTCCAAACCACCTTGCCACTTGCCCTAGGGTCCCATGTTATTAGAACAATATTTCGCTCTGAAGAAGAGAGGAATGCCTACGCTCCTGGGACAGAAGAGTAGAGAGAGGGTCCGTACTATTGAGCTGTACAGCCAACAAGGACTCTCTCCTTTCTGAGCAGAAGCAGGTTCCCACCACTACAAAGCTATCAGACCAATGCAAAGTATGGTGATAAGTGAACTCTTGCATTCCCTTTCTTGATTTGGAAAAGAGTGAAAGAAGAAACAAGCAATGAAGCTTTCAAAAGACGTACTAGTAAGCCCATCTCAATTGATTTTCCTTGCTTTTGTTTGCATCATTAGCATGTAGGTGCTTTAAAAAAAAAAAAAAAAAAAACTTCAGAAGTAGGAGAAATGGAGGACATGTATTCTTGTGTGAGATTCGTCCCTTTTTGGGTGTAATGATGTCCCTCTTAGCCAGTCACACAGCACGTGGCTGATGAAGCAGAAGAAGCATCACACAAGGCCCTTTTGAAATAGTGTTTGTCTTTACTGACATTTTCAGCGTTGGCCTCTGTTGGCCAATCTCAGCAAAGGGCAACTATCATCTGGATGGCAGCCCTTCTGGGGGCTCTCCTTGTCTAGCCCACCAAAGAAAAACAAAGCGTCCCCATTCACTTCTTGGAGGCGAGGCTGGTAGGGGAGACTTCAGTAGAGGGCAGGAGAGGCCCACTGCCTGGCAGGGCTCAGCCAGGCAGCGGCTGTCACTCCTAGGTGAAAACGAAAGGCTGAGGCGTGGCTTTGGTTTGGCGCTCTGTGGCAGTTTCTCTCTTATTAAAATAGATTCTGGTTTGTGACCTGGCACACAGACATGTGAATGCAACAGGAACCAATTCAGGTTGAGACTTTTGAATAAAGCCCTTCGTGCCAAAGCCAGCGTAACTTGAGACACCCACATGCATTGTGTGAGTGTGTCTATAGGTGTGTATGCAAGTAGTGGTGTATGGTTGTGTGTATTCTGCTCAGCCAAGACAGGAAGAAACAGGTAAACTTAATCTTCAGCCCTGGGTTTAAACAAGGCCTGACATACAGTAGGCATCAGCCCACGGCTGCCAAATGGAATGACAAGATTCTATGCAAATGTGGAAATTCCACAGCATACACTTATCTTAATTTCATGAAGTCCAACTCTTAATCCTGACTGCATTCGGCCATCTGGAATTGCAAAGATGGCGCCAAAACTTCATTTCAGGTCAACTAGCCCATGAGTGTTCACAATTCTTTCCCTCTGGGTCCTTTGTGCCTTAAAAGGGACCAAACCTTCAGGACTGTGGGTCCTTCTAGTCCTGATAACTTATGATGACTTCCCAATGGGCTTCCTTAACTCTTATGCAAACCAAAATAATTACCCCAAAGGGCATTACTAATAATACCAACGGCAATAACAGTAGCTCAGTGGTCGGCAAACTCATTAGTCAACAGAGCCAAATATCAACAGATTAAAATTTCTTTTGAGAGCCAAATTTTTTCAACTTAAACTATATAGGAAGGTACATCGTTATTAACTTAATTATGTTACTCCTAAGCTGGCCTTTGCTAAAAACTCAAGGGGCCAAAAAACCGCATGTGGCTTGTCAGCTGCAGTTTGCAGACCACTGCAGTAGCTAATACATCTTGTGCATTTATTATGCATATGTTGGGCACTATCCTAAGCACTTTACAAGGACTGACTCGTTTGACCCTTAAAACAACCCTAGGAAGTGGGTACCATTATTATCCCCATTTTCCAGATATGGAGACTGAGGCACGGAGAGGGGGGAAAACATGCCCAGGTTCCCAGCGCTGGCAATGATGGAGCTAGGATTCAAATCCAGCCAGTCTGGCACCAGGAGTTCACAGGCTTATCCACTACTTAACAGTACACTTAAGTAACTTTTTCAGCCTCTAAGTGCCCCCAGTACATGGCTGCTAATATTCCCAAGGTCTAAGTAAAGTTAGAGCAAGTCTGAGGCATGAGTAGCCATGGACTACAGATCACTGGCAAGCCCCAGGGTCTGTGGCAATGGTCCTGGCCACGCTGCAAACCCTGCAGACACGCAGGACTCCCAAGATGTCTGTATGCCTCTCCTGAGAAACAGAGGCCCCTGTGATTAGGGATCTGCTGTGACTCAAGAGGCTAATAGCAACAGGCTGATGCGTCTTTCCAACAAGCCTTTCCAACTGGAAATAAATCAAGAACGTTTTCTGTTGAGCCCTCTGGTCTCCAATAAATCTCCTGTGTCACGTAATAAATGAACAGTCCCAAGTTCCTCCCCCTGAGGCACCCAAAAGGCAACATCAATGGGTTGAGGCCACTTTTAAATTCAGGGTGGAGCCTCTCTGGAGGGAAAAATGCCACCCGGGCCATTAGGGTGGCCAAGAAGACAGAGTAGGGTCCGGGGCCCAGCACCCAGGGATCTCTTCACCAACCTGGGAAGAGGTTTATCAGGGTGAGCTTTTAGGAAGATTTAAAAAAGGAGCTCTTTAAGAGTGTCTATGGTTTAACCTACTCTGGCACCAAACTCACACAAAGGTTCGTACTTCAGGATTCTAACCTCTGTGCTATGCTGCCGATTACGGCAGGTTCTGGGTAAAGCCATTCTTACTTGGATAACTCAATTAATCTTAACTTTCTTTTCCACCAGCCTCAGATCAAGAGAAGTAGGTTTCTCTAGTAAAAATCACCCCTCCACGTCTTGAAACTTTGCCTAAATTGCAGGGCC